GAAAAGGATTTGAGGGATGTTTTACTCTCTTCAATTACTGAGTCCTCACTTTGAACACGATGTTACATAACACGAATGACACTGACCAGTGATGATGTTTCTCCTCGTTCATTTATTCATCTCCATCTATTCGTTCTCGTTTCTTCACTCAACCGAGCAAATGTAATTCTTCACAGTTGCCACGTTGTTTTATAGGCTACAGCTTACAATTACTTTTTCTTTTCTTTCTTTTTAACTAAAATATTATTAAGAGAAGAATTATGAAATAGTTGTAGTCTCTTTAGTTGTCAAGGGATTTTGAATGTAGTATAATACGGCTTAATTTGGTCGTGACTCGGTATATTAAGGAATCATTTGAGTGAAAGATTCACTCATAACACAAGATTCTCACTAGTCGCTGCCTACTGGTGTAATCAAACTGCACGAATCTTTTGGTGAACGAAGATTCGAGTAGGCTAGCCTACTCGGAATCAAAATCCCATACTTATTGTATTTGAATGTCCGTTCTTATGAAGATTAGTTATCACATTGTTTTAGCGGTTAACCACACCATTACATGATAATTACATTAATATTTACATTTTTAGAACTGGAGAAAAGTTCAACAAAAGAGTCCATTCCACTGTTCCCCATGATGCACTTTGTATTTACAACCACAGGATGGCGATAAAGTACCTTAACTTTGTGGCTACCATTCTCTGTGAAGGTTCAGTATGATGAACTCAATGAACGCGGTTTGATAAAATATGAAAACTGTTCAAAAATCTTCCCTAGTAGATTACAAATAGTTTACTTTGTCCTATTTTATACGTATAAATATTCCATGTAGTCTCATTATGTCATTAGCCTATTATTTATATTTCTTTAGAATTGGAAAAACGATATTTAAAATTAGTTTTAGAGCAAGCACATCATGTCACACTACTGATGTCAATGCTTGAAATTTCATGCCAACTACCCTCCCAATAAATGGGATTTTATTTTTTTATTCTGCAGTGCATGTGTAAAAACAACACAGTCAGTTAATAGTGAATGTGGAAAAATACAACCCGAGTTAGTACACAGAGCCCAAATATGTGTATTGTAGGCAGTGGCGGCGCCAGGGGGGGTCTTGGGAGGTCTCAAGACCCTCCCAAAAAACGCTTTGACCCCCCATTTGACCCCCCACTCCCTTCCTGATTAATAAATATATAAAGATTTAAAAATGTTTCTCTTCAAACTACGCAGAACAATAGTAATGAATAATTTATTCGACATATACAAAAATATAAACATAGAATCACTGCGACGCCCCATGAACGTCGCTGCGCCTTGCGTCATAGCGTTTAAGGCGCTCCCGCGAGCCCGCAAGAGCTGCTACGCCACAGCGGGCACGAATGGTGGGAATCCTGACGGCTGAGTGGATTTAACGGGGATTTAAGCCATGGCCCAGCCGAGAAACCAAGACAGCCTCAACTAAAATCATACCCGCGTCGTTATTTTGGATCGCAGGGGCAGCTAGCATCCAGTTGCTCGTGATTCAAACAGTACCAGTGGCTTAAATAGGCTATTCTGTGTCAAAAGACGCGGCTTTTTGTTTTGCCTGTCGTCATTTTTTTTTTCACAGTGTGCATGGATCTGTGGTCACTCATTGTATCCAGTCTCCTCAAAAAGTGTCAATTTTAACATGCTATATAAAATTATCTGTGGGGTAGCCTATTTTGAGCTAAAACTTCACACACACTCTGGGGACACCAACGACTTATTTTACATCGTATGAAAAGGGCATTATACCAAAGCCTTTAAACTTTAGGTTTTTTTTGTGAGTATAAGTATTTCAATCCTGATTCAAGACAATTCTGTAATTACAGCTACAACTTAAGCAGGCACAAGACAAAATTTACGAAATGGCTGAGACATCAAGATTAGACCTGGATTAGACAGAGAGACGCTTGAAAAAAGGAATGAGGTGATCTGTTTTATGACACAGATTAAACACTGTTAGGTACATTGCCGTTCAAAAGTTTGGGGTCTGTAATATTTTTTTATGTTTTTGAAAGTCTCTCATGGATCACCAAGGATGCATTTATTTGATAAAAAACTGTAATATTATAAAATATTACAATGGAATTTAAAATAATTAGGCTATATTTTAATATATTTAAAAAAAAAAATGTATTCCTGTGATGGCAAATGGCAGAGAAGAAGACAGGAGGAGACTGGACAGAAGTAGGGCAATCAAAAAGTGCGAGTATGACCATAGATAACTGTAAATATGTTTTCTGTCATGGGTGTGGCTATGGCAATTAAAATTCGAGCATATTGTTTGCAAAATGCAATTGATTAATTAATTAAAAACAAAGTAGTTGATATGCGGTGTTGTTTTTGTTGTTAAGTAGCAGTAATATGCCGTTATTAGCCGTGTCTACTGTATTTTTGGTGGTTTTCATGGGACCCCCCTTGAAATGACCAGGACCCCCCATTGCCCCCCCAATCAAAATTGTCTGGAGCCGCCACTGATTGTAGGAAGACGCTGACTATAGTGTGGAAATATATGTGCAGTAGGAAATAAGCAAGGTCCTCTATAACTTACACACTGGGTTAAAATGAATACATCATGCAGTAAGTAGACCTTTGTCCAGAGAACTGACAAATTGAGAAACAAACTCAAGCACACACGTGCTGATAAGGGGAAAACACTGTTGTAAGTGCATTGAGTTGGTCCTAATCAAAAAGCCATTTTTCACAAACATCATGCTGTAATTAATCACACAAAATGCTCAGTTACACTTTGTAATGGAACTATTGAATAAAAAAAACTTATTTCAGATGACAAGAACACAAATACAGTGGTAATTTATACTAGTTTCTATTCACTGTCAATACAGAAAATGGTAAGAGCATTGCAGACGAGGAACCATAGATTACAGATACAGTACATTTTGTTAGTTTAGACGACCATGAACAGGCTCAAAGTAGAATGTACAAGATTCATTCATAATGCATTTACTTTTTTCAACTAGCCTTCTGTGATACCCACTTCAGCTCAGTGCACTGTATAATGATGACCGTAGAAAATGGCTTATCATTCAGTTATGGGACATTTACCATATGCATAACTGATCACAATTGAATATATGCTCAACTGTTTCCTTTATACTGGTGCACAGCAGGTAAATTGTTTACTAATTTGTCACCATCCAAATACGTTACCAGAAACCTGGTAATAAATTCCACATAATGTACATTTAAAAAAAAAAAAAGTGAAAGGTAAAGCCTTCAATTACATAACCAACTATGTCCTTTTGCAAATAAACATTAAGGACGTGTAATGATATGTATGTCATTTGCACCATCAAAACTGTTTACAGAAAGACAGCTGTGGTGTCTTGTGCCTAGTTGGAGGATAAAGTTGCCCTGAAAACAAGGACGCAAGGCACTGGGGTTTCTGAGCAGTGAGCAATGTATGTATATCAGCGATCCGTCCTCCATGGCTTTACAACATTTTCTTGTGAAACTGAATACACTAATAAAATAACTGCAAGTACAGAGTACAATGACAGACAACATATCAACTACCTAGGTTAATACTGACAACTGAACTTGTTATCTGAAAATACATGTTACCATGACCATAATCATATTTAAACGGTTAAAACTGCAGAAGTGAAGAAAGCGGGGAAGTTCAGTCGATCCATTTAATAAAAGCACACTGGAGAAACAAGGATTTCAATGTATCTTCTCCAAACTGCTGACAGTATGGAACAAACCGGATGTCTTAAAGCAGTCATGCAGAACATCTGCAGCACAATCTGACAACACGTGACAGCTCTGAATTTGAATGACTCAATTTAGCCCAACCTTACTAAAAGGGATAGTTCAATCAAAAATTATATCTATATATAAATGCAATGCCATAATGAAAGTGAATGGGGTTACATTTTTGTTTTTTGTTTTCGTGCACATTCTGTTTGTCTTTGTTTGTTGTATTTTTTGTCCATATAATGACAGTCAATTGTGTCCAAAAACTGGACTTATGTTCCACAGAAAACAAAGTTTTACAGGTTTGTGACGATGAATAAATCATTACATGAATTTTCATTTTTGGGAGAACTAATGAAAGAAAACTGAAAAATACCAATGGAAAATGTTACAAAAGTCTACTTACAAGTTGCAATTATTTGTTTAAATTAAAAATGGTACAATTTGCTTGAGTTTACTGAGCTATTCACTATACTGCATAAATTATATACTGCATAAATAATATTACTCTCTGTAGTAATACCTGAAAACATATCTGACGTGTATAAATAATATACTGACAATGACAGAATGTTTAGAGAGATATGTGGCTTTCATATTCAGAGCAGTTTTTTCCTAGCTTGGGTTTCAGAGCAACACATCCACAGGAAGTTCATGTATTCAGCATTCATACTGACAGGAAGTTCCCTCCCCTCATTCTCTCAATGCATTACCTCGTATTGTGAGGCCTGAGTTCAACACACTTTTAGATAAGAACAGAAATTTTTTACACCTCTCAGAATTCGGAGTGTCCTTCCTGAACCGTTGAATGAACCATTGGGGTCACAGCATTGAATGGATCCACAGAAGAAACAAGCCCTGGGATAAACGAAAAATTACAAATTGTTATGAGAGTGAGCCCTTGAGGGAAAACCATGACAAGGATGCAAATGTCTGTCAACGGTAGTCACTCAGGTTAGTTCGTTTCCGAAGGATGAAAACAGGACTGCAGACTGAGACAAATTCTGTATATAGTGAGAAACACTCCTGCATATTAGGTTCAGGATGGGTGGGTGTCAGTCAGCTGAGGAGAAACCACTGAAGACAAATGCAGGAAACATTTAAGACCTTTCTGAGAATGGCTTATAAACATCACTGTTAAACACTCAGGAGCTTTGAACAGGTCACATGCACTCACTTTCACAAAAAAACTGCGGATTGATCTCCCACAGATGGCAACAAATGTGCTTAAAATTATTAGATTAATAAAATCTTCAAACAAAACACGTCAAATAAATGATCATGGAAATGGAGCTGGTGATATTATCAACATCATGAACATCATTCGTGTTTGCACCAAAAAGGCTTTTTTTTTCAACAGCTGTGGACCGTGACTAGTCCAGGTCAGGTATAGATTTTAGCTAGGATAAAAAAAAGGATAATAACAAGGATGGAGTGGGGATTTTCTTCAGGATAAGCCAAGGAAGCTAAAGAGAAGTGGGACCAGGAACACGCAGCAGTAGGCCACTGTGCCATAAACAATAAACCGATATGCAAGTTCCACTTGCGCATGTTGTCTAGCCTTCCGCACGTCATCCGAAGGCACGCCGAAGATCTTGCACGCCAATGGGATCGCCACAACCTTCATGGCAGCCCTGACGGCCAGAAGCACCGCCACTCCCACCAGGAGCCGCGAGATTGAGCGGGCCAATAGGGCCCTGTCGATCAGGGGAAGGGCGAGCGGTAGAGCTTCTTCAGGAGGATCTGGCTGTAGACCCAGTTGGTAGTTCAGACGAGATGCCAACGCGGCTCCGACAGCTGTGGCCAACGCCTGGGCCGTGTCGCCACGAGACGTGCTCCATGAGTCCAGCGAGAAAGCCACCAAGCTGAAGCCCACGTGCACTAGCAGGACGACCAGAGGGGCATAGCTGTGGGACAGGTAGAACGTGTCAATGTCATCCAGTAGGGGGTGAAGGACCGCCAGGATGAGTACACTGTAGAGGAAGCCTGTGATCACCTCCTGTAAAGATGAAGGCACAAACTTATTAGAATGGTCCTTGGGTTATGATACAAATCAAGTCAAATGTTATTCTGATTTTGTTGACACATGGTGCAATTTACCATAGATAAACTGGCATTTCTCATTGTTTATTACTACTGGCCACAGTGGCCAGGCAAACATATGAAGGTCAGTGAAAACAGGAGTGGTATTGCTTGATACAAGTTAACTGCATATAAACAGTCATTACGGGAACAGGAATTGTGTGCAGAATTAACTAAAACATTCATAGTTTACAAGAACATTAATCCCGAAATGAAAAATTGCAGTAAACTCTAAATAAAGTGTACTTGAGTGCACTAAAAAAACACTTAAATACAAGAAAGTATATTTGTAGTATATTCTTACTTTTTGTGCTAAAGAAAACTGTAAAAATTATGCACTATAAATACACTAATTAAAAGCATATTTTTACTTAAGTAGTACTTAAGTGTAATTGCGAAAGTATATTAAATAACATTGATATTTTAAATGTATTTTTAGTGCAATTTTTTTGCATTTTAATATATTTCTAACAAGTGTACTAGAAGTGCATTGGTAATAAATATATGCTTAATTACACTTTTAAGAAATATGCTAAACACAAGCATAATTTTAATATATATTCAAACAAATGCACTATAAGTACATTGGTATTAAATATATGCTTAATTATACTTTTAAGAAATATGCTAAACACAAGCATAATTTTAATATATATTCAAACAAATGCACTAAGTACATTGGTATTAAATATATGATTAATTATACTTTTAAAAAATATGCTAAACACAAGCATAATTTTAATATATTTCTAACAAATGCAATATAAGTACATTGGTATTCAATATATGCTTAATTATACTTTTAAGAAATATGCTAAACACAAGCATAATTTTAATATATTTCTAACAAATGCACTATAAGTACATTGGCAATAAGTATATGATTAATTATACTTTTAAGAAATATGCTAAACACAAGCATAATTTTAATATATTTCTAACAAATGCACTATAAGTACATTGGCAAAAAGTATATGATTAATTATACTTTTAAGAAATATGCTAAACACAAGCATAATTTTAATATATTTCTAACAAATGCACTATAAGTACATTGGTAATAAATATATGCTTAATTATACTTTTAAGAAATATGCTAAACACAAGCATAATTTTAATATATTTCTAACAAATGCACTAATAAATATATGCTTAATTATACTTTTAAGAAATATGCTAAATCATACAATTTTTGTGAAGTTTTATTGTATTTAAAGAAAACATACTTATGCTGCTCTTTGTGTAAGAACATAGCAAAATGGTTAAGCTTTTAGTATGTTTAAAGTACTTTTTAAACACTTAGGCCTACTGCAGTATATTTTAATATTTATATATTTACAATTTTAATATTTTGGGGGGAAATTACATTTATAATGTACCAACTTATAATGTATTATAAACATTTGTCAACTATTATTAAGCATTGCAATAAGCCTACTTAAAATTAATATTGTTCACTTTCACTTGATTAAAGGCTACTTAAAAGTCTGTTGTCCATTACGATACATTTATACTACTGAAATTCCCACAAGGATTTTAACATCATATTATTTGAAATGCATCATAGATACATTTTCCAAAGATGTTTAAATGTTTTCATAAAAGATGTTGTACTTGTTTAAATTTGAACAATATGCATAACACCTGTGACTAGTCCTGATTGGTTCCAGAGCCGTTGAACGGCTGTGATTGGTTCTTATGATTATGAGCTCATTTCACTCGAGCTTCAGTTCCTGTGCGTATGTTCCTTGAATGTGATTAGATTTAGAAGTCTACATTTAAACTGTTAAAGTATAATAGCGATCGTGTTTGTTGAGAGGACTTGGAGGAAACCACGCGATTCATATGTAGGTGATGCTTTTTTGCGATTAACTTTTTCAAACGTGAACAGTTTTGGTGAATCGTTTATCGGAGGGATATACATCTCTCGGGTTTCATTACAATATCTCAGTTTTTCTTTCGAAGATTAACGGAATTCTTTAGTAATGTAGCCATCCTTTACATTACAAATCAGATATGATGACACACGGACTGTGAAAAGGGTTTCTTAGCCAATATTTGCCTTTATTACCCCTTGTTAGAAAATGCAACAACGAAAGGTTTGTGTCGTGGAAAAAAACACTAAGTTATATTTTGTTGTTGTTGTTTTTTTGTTTTTGTTTTCCTAAAGTTTGTTTGGGAAAGGATTGTAAAATTTAAAAAAGAAAAGAAAATAGTGTTTTGTTCATATTTAAGATACGTAGGCCTACTGTATGCTGTAGTTTAATAATTTTAGTTTAAGCTTGCCACTTGTGTTCTTTTTCCCCCGCCTCTACTATAAGGTCTGTTTGGACTTGTTCGTGAATAACGTCTCAAAAAATTAAAGTGTTTTTCAAGAAAGCGATGCTGTTTGTTTGTACATTACATAGCCTACCTGTGCTGTATTGTGTGGTATCCTTTTAACTATGGGTGTTTACATTTACATGAATTACATTTACTTTTATCAAATATAATTTTTAGCATAAATGAGGCAGAAAATGCTACTGATAACACAGTAATAGTGTACTTGACTACTTTTTAAATAAACCATTATTTAATTGTTTTATAAAGGTACTGTTAACATAGTTAAAATATATTTGAAATAAATTATTTACTATATAAAAAATATGTGAGCAATACATAAATATGATTTGTATATATTATATATTCTTATATTTTAAATAATTTATAAGTGTATTTAAAAATGCATTAAAGATAGGTTCAATTGTACTAAAAGGGATAACAAAATAAAAAAAATTAAAGCTGAAATAGTATGTTAAAAGCATATTTTAGTTAATCTTCAGTGTGTGTCAAAATAGCACAGTTGAGTACACTTAGTTGATCTTAAGTTTATCTTAAGAAGTACTAAAGTTAAGCTTTTAGTATATTAAGTACAAAATTAGTGCGTGAAAATAGAGCACTTTAAGTACATTATGGAAGTGTACTAAGTGCACTTAAATAATGTAATTTAGTGTACTTTTTTTGACAAAGAAATACACCTTAAGTATAATATATATGTATTTATAATATATCATTATTATATTTTAAATAATTTATTAGTACAATTAAAATGCATTAAAAATGGGTTTTATATATACTAAAAGTGGTAACAAAATACATTTTTTTTAAAGGTTGAAATAGTATATTAAAAATATATTTAAGTTCATCTTCAGTGTGTGTCAAAATAGCACAGTTGAGTACACTTAGTTGAGCTTAAGTTTATCTTAAGAAGTACTAAAGTTAAGCTTTTAGTATATTAAGTACAAAATTAGTGCGCGAAAATAGAGCACTTTAAGTACATTATGGAAGTGTACTAAGTGCACTTAAATAAAATGTATTTTAGTGAACTTTTTTTTCACCTGGGATAAGCCGAAACAGACCTGAGAACAAGCTGAAAGAGTATAGCATATATTGTAGATCTGATTAAGAGGAACCATTTATTTAGGTTTTACACTAACTTTAGCTGCTTTATTTTGTGGGTGGCACAAAAAGTTAAAGCCCATGTTCAGGGCACTTCTCCACTTTGTGTGAGATTTCACAGGAGAGTAGACATCCAAAGTCGTCCTTTGTGTCTTCCAGCTCAACATTTCTTACACTGCAGCCTTGTGAAAATTGGGAACTGAATCTTGTAACATTATTCCTTCAGACTTCCTGCTGTTTGACATTTTAAGTCAATTCGCAACCTTGTAATTTCTTTGCAAAGAAAGGACAGTCATTATTTAACATCATTTAATTGAATGTGTTTTTATTTATTTGGCCTCGTGATGTTAACAACCCATATATTTTATCAGCTGTGTGAGATTAATTTCTTTTAAAGAAGAAATTAATACTTTCATTCAGCAAGTATGCATTTTTCAGCAAGTACACAACCAGTGAACTGTGTACCAGCATCTTTTAAATCAAGCAAGATTTAAAACAAGCAGTGGGATGGTTCAACAGTTACCTATCAGGAAGAACACAATGTGTGCAAGTAGACGGCCCCAGTTCTGCCTCCCTAAATATTTCAAAAGGGGTGCCTCAAGGTTCAATCCTTGGGCCTCTTCTTTTTATCATTTATACAAACAACCTCTGTAATAATATAAAAAATACAAACTATCATTACTATGCTGATGATACTGTTCTCTATTGTTCTGGGTCCACATTAGGTCAAGCAATCACAAATTTACAATCCGCTTTTAACATCTCACAATGTAAATCTGGTTACTTTAAAATTGGTTCTAAACTCTAAAAAAAAAAACTTACGTCATGACTTTCACTCTGGGGAAATCAACTAAAAACTATATCCCAAACATTTGTACATTTTCTGGTACAGAAATCCAAGAAGTGTCACATCACAAATACTTGGGCATTACTATTGACCAATCACTGTTTTTTACATTGCATGTCCAAGATTTGGTTAAAAAACTGAGATTGAAGTTCTTTCAAGTTTTTTTCTTTATCTTTTGAAGCAAAAAAACAACTTGTAAATGCAACATTCTTTTCTGTCTTGGACTATGGTGATATTTTATACATGCATTCAACCTCCCAGTGTCTTCATGCTTTGGACACTGTGTTTCATGGAGCCTTGAGATTCATCACAAACTTAAAATCTGTCACTCATCACTGTTTGCTGTATTCTCGGGTCGGGTGGTTCTCCCTCACCATTCGGCGTTGGATGCACTGCCATCTTTTTATTTATAAGGCAGTATTAGGACTTCTTCCTCCTTATCTGAACACTTGCATCCTTCCGAGGTCTGCAGGGACATTTCACCTGCGCTCTCAGGATCTGTTTTTATTGACAGTCCCTAAAACCCACACTGTTTTTGGCAAAAAGGCTTTTAATTTTGAATCAGATTCAGAATGAACTACAGTTGAAGGAGTTTGTCTCACTTTATTCTTTTAAAGGTTTTTTAAAGGACCTTGCAGAAAGGCAGTCTGTCTGTCATTGCTGCTAAATTGATTTAAGACCCAGGTTTTTTATGATGACATTGTTGTTTGAATATGATGAGTGAAAGTGTGTCTATGTATTTACCTGTAAGCGTTTCTCTATCTATTTGAAATCGTGTTGCTGCCACTTGCCAGGACACTCTTGAAAAGTTTTTTTTTATACTGGTTAAATAAAGGCTTGAATGAAATCAGATCTGTTCAGTGAATCAATGATCCAGTCACAGTATGATGATTTATCATTTTTGCCACACAAACCATACAGCAATTTCATGATGGAATACTTATGATATTTTTTGCCTCGTATTTGCTTGACAGCCCCAGTTTCATTATAAAGAAATGATAGAGAGTTCTGCACATTTTTTCATCTTCCACAGATGAAAGTATGTCAAACGGATTTTGAAAGGTATGAGACAGTTCAGTAAATTATTTATTTCCCCCTAGTCGCCTGATCTGATGTGGAGCATGTTCAAGGTTAACAGAAGATTAGAGACTAACTTTGGACACCTCGCAATAACACTACGATCTGATAGTCTTTATGTGATACAATCATGCTGATATGTACTTAAAATGGGTAAAAGGTCAATGCAACCTGCAGAATGAACTCTTCTCTTTAGAGATTGACTCACTTAAGCTACGTTCACACTGTCAGTCCAAATCCGATTTTTGTGCATATCCGAAATCTGTTTTGAGCATATGTGGTTTGAAATCCTATTTGGAAATCCGTTTCAGTCTGACTGCCTCTGATCGGATTTTGGATGGTTTATGTGACTTTCTCAAGCCACGACGTTGTTATAGGAAACATGCTGAAAGTCGCTGCAGAAACAAGGTTGTGTTGTTGCAAAGTGCAGGACGAGCAGAAAATGACAATATAACAGAGACATGTTTGGAAACCAACGGAGACGACAGCAAGGAATAAAGCAGCTCGTACGAGCCTCCTATGGGTCTGCCGATGCCTCATAAGACGCAGTAGTCCAGCGTGGCGGCTACACGTTGTCATGTTGTAAAAAAGACATCATCTCTATTGCAAACCCCTTCGTGTTGTTTTGGCATTTACTACCAACACAACGCCATGCCATTGAAACCAATGCAGATATTCCGGAAAACGAAAGAACGGCATGGACACACAAATCAGAACTGAATAGTTGCGATACACAATGTGGACAGTCAATGTTAGATCAGATTCCAATGGGATGCATAAATAATCGGATTTGGACTGACAGTGTGAACGTAGCCTTAGATCTGACAGACGTGTAGCTTGTTCGACCTGTCCATGTATACTTTAAATGTACACACATGCTTCTCCATATACTGCAGGCCAAAAGACTCAAATTCTTTCCAGCACAGTCTCTCATTGTCTACTCCTGCTCTAGTCCTTCCCTCTATCACTCTTTTGAAGTTGAAATGAAGGGCTGAATGGGTGCTGGAAAGATCTAAGCTCTCCTTGAGACTTTCTTTCGTAATCCTTTCTACCAAAGCTCCCTGATCACAGGCTTTTCAGTCCTAAGCTGTCAAACAGCCCATCAGGGGTTTAACAATAAGGATTTTTCAATCTTGGCTTGGTTTGTTCACTAGTTCAGGGCACACATCGGTTCACCCGCGTCAAGAAAGTGCATTTGAGCTTCCGCAAGAACCAATGTACAGTTGAGCTTCTGTTTACCATATTTAATGAGCTCTATGTGTGTTGACCAATGTTTTTTGTAAAAGGCTGTTAAATCTGTTTATCATATAAATTGATAACGTCTCTTCAGAAGACTTGGATTAAACCGCTCGATTCATACGGGTTACTTTTACAATGTCTTTATGAACTTTTTAAAATGTCAAAGTTCTGGCATGAACTTTCAGTGAAGGGATAGAGATCCCTCAGGTTTCATTAAAAATTTTGTTTTCATTTGTGTTTTTCGAAGATGAACAAAAGTCTTATAAAAGGCAAGATTCTGAAAAAAAGTGAGATATGATGCAACACCCAAAGATGTCAATCTGCATGTCCAACAAAAAGTTGATATATGCAATGAATTACGATTGAATTTATTAAATTAGTGATTAATTAACATACTTTTTCTGAAAACCATCAGTGCAAAACATGACTGATTTGTTGATAATATAACTTGTAACTATTGTTTCCAAGATATTTTTGTCATTTTGAAATATTCTCATTAGATGTTAGTTATTTGGACAACTTTTGACTTGGCATACATAAATCAGCACAATTTGCAACAATGTTCACACATCATTAAAAAAAAAAAATTGTGTGATCAATCGACATAAGATATAGTGGGTTATCGAAACACTCTTAATGCTGAGCCCCGGTCCACAGACTTCATTGGCTTGAACTTTGAACACAAGATTCACACAGTACATGATCTAAACTTCCTTGAGTGTGCAGATTTCCACAAAGATGATCCAGCCACCTTCGTCGTGAGCACAGCATTAAAATAACAAGGTTCCCATCACCTAGGCAACCAGCATCTGGTTTCTAAATCTGTCCGCTCTCACCAACAGCTTTAAACAAATAAAGACAGACATCCTTTATTTAAATAACAGGTGTGTGAAGTTGGTCATTATCGTTATTCCATGTGAAACCTGCAGAACGGATGACTAATACACAGTATGTTGATCTTGATGACTAAAGCAAAGCTTATGTTTTGAGCTGTCTACACATCAAAATGTAAATGGATCCCCACTGGCTCATACAAGCCCAAGGGAAGCAATTATCCGATCAGAGATCTTTTGTGAGAAAAGAATGGAAAACAGATGAGCATTCGAAGATCAGAGGATACCGAGTCAGCAGTGATGACTCACTGATTTGCTTCGTTTCAGGGGCTCTACTGACAGGAGAGGGTTGCAAAGACTGAAGCAGCATGTATTAGGCTTCTTCTTGAACTGTTACCAAAACCTTAGTCACGAAGCTGCTGGAAAGTTCCTCAACCTCAAAAACTGTGAAGAGTGCAAATTATAGTGCACAGCTGAATGTGCCTGAACTACATTAAAAAAACATTAAGACGCTCTAAAATAACAACCATGCACACTTACTAGTGCAACTATCTAACATGGTCATAGATTTGAAAGGGATAGTTCATCCAAAAATGAAAACTCTGTCATCGTTTACTTACCCTCATGTTGTTCCAAAACCTATGACTGTCCCTTTTAGGTACGATTAAAGAATGATTAAATTTGATGAAAACATTACTCACCAGGACAGAGTGCATGCCCATATAAATCCTGCTGATGCACACGAGGACACTCCAGAACAGAGCTAAGCTCAATCCAATCATGAACGGGTACTGTTGAACACACAGAGAGGAAAGACTTATGAGGAAACTGCAGTTCAAAAGACAGTAAGGTCATTTCATCACTGTTAAATAACATAATCGAAATTCTTATCAGGGTATAAAAGCTATATTTTAGCAATAAAATACACATATAAAAATATAAATGATCCAATGTAAATTTCCAACATAATGTACACCACTGTTCAAAAGGTTGGGATCAGCAAGATTTTATAAAAAGGAGGGAAATGACATATTCAAAAGAGAAAGGGTTATTTTAAATTGTTATAATATTTCATAATATTACTGTTTTTAAACAAATAAATGCGTCCGAGAAATTCTTACTGACCCCTAACTTTTGAACACGTATTCCCCTCCTACTGTCCCACACATCTGAATTAACATGCTGTATATATGTACAGGGCCAGATTTACCTCATATTGTGACATAGGCAAAAGACATTTTTGATAACAGCTCACTTAATACGATTTTATGTTAAAATGTGTTGTTTTTCGTGTTAACTATTTTGACTGAGAACAATGCACAGTGGTTTTAATTCAGTGTGAGCGGCCGGCGCAGCAAAAATAGACTCAGCGCTTCAAAAACAACAACTTCTACTCTGCTCCTGCTAGGTGTTGCCACACCGCCTCGGTGTGCAGTTTGAATGCTCTAATCCTGTTTACACGGGTGCCGAAATAAATACGCTCTGCTTACATGTGCAGTGTGAAACAGGCCTTAGTAAAGGACTAAAAGCTTATCATTTAACAGTACCTATGATGATCAACGACAAATAAAGCAACAGTATCAGGACAGAGTAGGGCAAAGGTCCATCAAGGATTGAGACCATGCGCAGTTGGAAGAGAAGTGGATTGAAGTAGCTGCTGATCTGCAGAAAAGCTGAATTTCTCATTATTCAGACAACAACAGATCTATTCATTTTTGGCATTCGGCTAAACCTTCTTTCTGTGCTCATGCATTGTTTCGCTCCAGTAGTCTGGGCAATATACCAGTACCTCCCACAAACCCATCAACATTGACTACCCTGTGCATATGTAAAAAATTTGAACTGACTTGACCTCACTGGCTCTCATCTGCAACTTCCAAAATAAAGTTTAAAGGGGTCCTATTATGGAGTCTTGATTTTGTTTTTGGGGTGTACTAGAATATGCTTTCATGCTCGATTGTTCAAAAAACACATTATTTTTCACATATTTTATATTATTACAGTTCCTCTCTCCCCAGTCTGGCCCAAACCCGTCGTTAGTTCCTGTTTTGATGAAGCCCCTCCTTCCGAAATACGAAATGTGCTGTGATTGGTTAGCTGGCCCAGTTTGTTGTGATTGACACCGTGTTCGGGAAATGTCACACCCCTTACCATAGGGTTTCATTTGCTCAGGTCAGGTGTAAATTAAGAATGGCGTCAATTTCAAACCAATTCAAGCCTGATTAAAAATGTTAGCAAACAAGAGGATCGTGCAGAACGGATTTCATGCATGGAATGTTTTTTTTATTTTTATTTTCTTATACATTTTAGATACAATGTTATACACTATTTAATCATGTACTTGTCAAAAAAACTATGGTAATACAAAGACTAATCGATCACAGAACCATGGTTAATTTCCCTATGCGGCGGTAAACAGTTTTACAAGAGCAAGAGCTCACAAAAGCTACAGTAAACACTATCAACACTAATGTTGATTGCATTATAATATGTACAGTAAACTATCAACACTAGCAGGCAAGCAGAGCCAAACAGCTTTTCCCTTTGTTTACAATTCGTTAGCCTAATAGCATAATTGCCTTAGACATATTTCAAATAAACATGACTTAGGCAATTATGCTATGATGAGGCTAACGAATTGGAACTGTTAATAGAAAACACAACTACAACTTTAATAAACTTTAAAAATATATTTTACCCACTAAGTTCATCAGCCTTAGGAAGGTCAAACAAATGAGTTTTGGAAAAAATAGTCTCTCTTTGACAGTGACAACACTCTTGTCTTCTCTAATGCAGCTCAACCAGGCCTCGCACCTTTTTTTGCATATTCTGTGGGCGGGGATTATTTAAATGAGTAACACTGTGACTTCATAAAGCCCGAAAAAAAAATGTGTTGTTGTCCAAACGAGCTGTTCATTTTAATTCGTTTCACAGCTCAAACAACAATACACACTAACTAAAGTTGGAAAAGTAAAAAAGCATAATAGGACCACAACCCCTTAAGTGTCACCGGTGGGCCCAAATCCATTACATTTTTAAAACAGTAATATCCTATACTAAACCTAAACTAATCTTGACAAACTATATATCATTTGAAAGCTTACAGTCTCTAGTTTCCATATTTGGTAATTTTCAAAATAAATTACAGAGGAGCCGTAATTTATCAATTTGCAAAAAGAATATTTTCAAACTCCTAAGGCGTGTTTAGACCTTTATTTTGAAATAGTGATGAACATGAAAAATCATGAAAGAAGGGTAGAAACCTCAGTTTGTTTTCATGCCAAGAGTTCAAAAGATAGCATCCATTAAATTATTTTAGAAAAAAAGATCTGATTTTTTTTTTTTAAATATAAAAGAAAAAAAAGATAGATTCACCATTTGTTGCAGGAAGCTATAACGCACATGCGTGTTCTTTTTATGTGTTCCTTAGAGGTTGAATTCATATCAAAATCTGCCAAACTTCTCATATTACTTCTGAATAGGATGTCTACTTCATAAATTTTATGAAAATTGTGGAAATAATAGTTCAGATCACTCAAAACACATATGGAAATGGAGGCGCCCTTATATGGGCAGTAATGGAGTCTGGTTGTCATCTAGTGAAAAAGTTTGGTACTGTGCACAAACAAAATTTTTTGCTCATTTTTGGAGATATCAACCTAAAATTTGAAACACAACTTGTTCAGATTTTTGCCTTTGATTTTTTTTTGCAGTTTTAGAGTCGCCCAGGTTTTGAAAATATATATTTTATATAAAATAAGAATAATTGAATTTTTTACATTGTACATTTTCATAAACTCAAACTTCTATAACTTTGTTTCTGTTTCACTTTCTCAATTTATTTCACTTCTACAAAAATCTGCTAAATGTCTTCTTTAAAACAAGATCAATCTTACGTCTATATTCCAAAGCATTCTTGAATTACAACCATTTAAGTTCGAAATGTGCATTTTCATGTATATTCAAAAAAAGGGGGGTGACACTTAAAAATCTTTAGTTTCCCTTAAATGGTAAATCTCTTTTAACATAAGTACAGTGGTTGTTAAAGTACAAACAGGAATACAAAACTGCTAGTTTGGTATTGGCAAATAGGGCTGCAACGATTAGTCGACGTTGTCGACAACGTCGACAATAAAAATTTGTCGACAAATATCTTTGTTGTCGAGTAGTCGTTTGATCTCACGTGACCTAATGTAAGGGCCTGCAATCCCGCGATTTGAACGCTACGGCGCTGTAGCGCTAGAGTGTAGTGCAGCCCTTACAAATGCTATTGCGGTAGAAGAGAAAACAGCGCGAATTATGACAGTCAGTGCAAACGAATCCGAACTAGCAAGGTTTAGGTTTGGGAAAGTTTCACAAAACTTCAAATCAAGAATGCTGTCGTGTGCAATGTTGGGGTGCAAGAGGAAACATCCCGGCAAAAGAGGAGCCGGTGAGAAGTGAGTGTTCTCCAGCTGGAGCTAACTAACCAGCGGCAAATATCTCTTTATTAGAGAATGCAATACTACTAATAATAGTAATAATATTATCAATAGTAATATAATTACAGTAATGTGATGACTTATTTTGTATAGAATAAAGCTTGATCGAGCTTAGGAGTCAGGGCTGTTTTTATTATTGTAACACTATTAGTATATTAGGTATTATTATAGTCTTATCACTTGCCTGTATTTTGTTCAATAATCATGAAGACTTACAAAACGAGATGTTATATCCTTCCTATGATATAGGAAGAATATCACGGCAGTCACTTTATCATACTATAAATTAAAAGGGAATGAGAACGTCTCTGTCAGCTCAATTGCCATGTAAAAAAAGATTGTAATTTTATATTTATAATAATTGTTTGCAGATTATTATTTTACCATTCTTTGTGTCCTGAAGTAAATGTCCCTTTTTCTGTTTCAGTTCTAAGAAAAGCAGTGGGCCTATTAAACAATGCTTAGAGAGCATTTGTGTGTGATTTGAGTTGGACCGAAATCTGAAAACTTAAAGAGAATGACCTGTTTAGTTGGCTCAAAGTTCATTAAAACAACTATTTCAAAAGCTGAAGTGATTTTCTTTTTTTATATTATAGTTAGAATATGTATAACTCAATGTTTTAACTAATTGGAAAAGCTGAATAATCGTTCCAAACTTACTGATTAGTCTGCGAAATAATCGACGATTAGTCGATTAATCGTTCTAATAATCGTTAGATTAATCGATTATCAAAATAATCGTTTGTTGCAGCCCTATTGGCAAAATACTTGAATCAATCATCTGCAAAAAATCAACAGACAGGCACAATGGTGAAAGAAGAGGAAACATGTTTGAGGCTATTGTTCCTAGTTTCCTGCTAAATTTAAGAGGATATGAAAGCAAGAAAATCTATAGAGACTGTTCTGTTTTGTGCTCAAAATGATGGTTAAGACTTCAGCCTTCAGTAGGTACAAGACATATTATCGACAGTTTCTGCTAACTTCAGAGGAAGAGCTGGGGAAAAAGGATGATCCTCCATAAAAATCTATGAGAAAAGCTTTTTACAGAACAATATCAAATCTCTGGCGTATATAGATGTATCAAAAGAGTTATCATAAGCAATCGCACAACCTCTTCTGACTATATGCTAATTATTGTTGAATGTAATGATTTCTTTGACACCAACAAGCATATGATTCAATAAACCCAGCAGAGAAATCCATATTTATGAATAATGCAGTGCACTGCATAGACCTTTAGTGGTTAAGTAACAAAGCCTGCATATTTTGTAAAAAGATGGAGATTAATGTCCTGTCTGGAAATGCATTCACAGGGAACCTCGATTTGCCAGATGAGTCAGTTCTATAATAATATGGAAAAGTAAAAGAGTTTTCCACTGAATGCAATAGACTAAGGACAGACCACTTTTGTGATCTGTAAATCAATAACGTTTGAACTTTGAAGACAGCAATCATCATTCAACTGCAAGAACTTCCCAAAGCATGGTCAAATGAACTGAATATAGAAAGTAAAAACATCACTTCCCCTCAAGAGAAACAGCTTATTTCAGTGTTTTTGATTCTGCAAGATGTAGCAAGTTTTAAAGAACAAAGCATTAAAAATAAAAGGCCCATTCACACCAAGAACGATAAATATAACTTTATGTGTCCACACCAAAGAATGATATCATGCTGTTTATTTGAAAAGCTTGCACTTTAAATGTCACTCTTTAAAGCAGGATGGATTCTGATTGATTGTCATTGTTCTTATTGTTCTGCAGCTGGAAAAAAAATAGTTCTGAAAGTGATTCAAACTATTTTGTTTCTCTGTAACGTTATCGTTACAGTTGTGGTGTGGACTCTGGCTGCTATTCTTTTATATTTAGAACGATTTTTAGAACTATGTTTATCGTTATCATCCTTGGTGTGAACTGGGATTATGCCTTAAATTTGACGCTTGAATAAATATGACTCATTCAAACTAATGGTGACTTAAACAAACATTTTAATAGCTCATTTAATCTAAGGATGATGAGAGGCTGGGATCAAATGTATGGAGAGTATGTATGTATAGAGACTGCAAAACCTTCAAAGGGTTAAGTTTGATTGCGATAAATGAGAATTTTTGCCTCTGGCACAGTTCTGCTGTTTCTATAAATGGCAATACATAGAATTACATATTTTTGGGATGAGACCATAGGCGACCAAGCGATGCGGCCAAGCGAAGCGACTTCCGGCGGCACGCCACGCGCGACAGCGACCGTTGGCGACTAGATGGGGCGTGTCTGGCGACGCGACAAAGTTGAGAAATGTTTAACTTTATGCAAATGAAGAGCGATTTTCGCGAGCGACAACCAATAGGAGTGGAGCGCACGTGATCCTTCTCCTCAGCCCCTGAAGTACTGCTGGAACCGGACTTCATCCAGCCGCAGTTGCTGCACCAGCCGGTGGTACTCGCCGTGCTGTCTCCGAGCCCGAATGGTATCGTGAACCCAGATAGACCGGCGTTTGCGCTTATGCCGTAGATAAACGGCCGCAACGATGTACGGAGTATATTTATATTTAGTATTTTTCCCTCCAGAAATTGTGTTTTTTAGCGGCAAGAAAGCTGATTCACTGTCTTTTGGATGTCATACTAGTCAACCAGTAGTGGGAACGCCCACTAGCGACCTCATCGCCAGCGACTGGCGACTTGCAGCGACAGTCGCGTGTAGTGTGAACGGGGCTTAACTCTCTTGACGCTACATCAGCAGCTGAGGTATGATGTGAGAACACATCCTTATTATCAGCCTCTTTTACTGAGACACTGACTGCTTGCTAAAGGCAGGTTGTTTTGATAATGAGGACAGATGTTCAGAAAGAATATAGCACACCTAACAGTACAGCAAGTCTTTTTAACATGTACTCATAGACCTAGCTTGTATTTGTTTTCACTAACTAGCATATATTTTATTTATCAAATGTGCCAGAGGGCCCATGATGAAGGTTTTGTACAAGGCACAATAATTGCTAACTGTGGCTCTCCTAATTTTTCCAATAGTTACAAGTATCTATTTTTTGTTGTACTAGTGCTCCAGCTTATTAATTGTACTCATTTTTTATAACTCATTTTGAACGTCCGTTGCCAGAAGCCAGTGATTATAGCTTAAAGTTTTAAATATGGATATTTTTCTTAGAAAAACCCATCGCGTCACTTCAGAAGGCCTTTATTAACCCCCTGTCTTATGGATTACTTTTATGATGGATGGATGCGCTTTTTGGAGCTTCAAAAACTCGGACACTACTCAATGCTATTACAAAGCTGGGAAGAGCCAGGAGGATATTATCAGATTGTGTCTGGCTGAAAGAAGAAAGTCATATACAACTAGGATGGCATGGCTTGAGGGCGAGTAAATTATGGGATCATTTTCATTTTTAAGAGAACTATTCTTTTTACAAACAATAACTAATGGGAGTGATAGACAAAATTTGTGGCCAGTGGCAGTAACAATACTAGTATGTAATGAATGAAGTACAAGACTAATTGAAACGATACTAACCAATCACTATAGAAATAAGTGATAATGCACATTACGTAAAATAAAAATAAATGCTAGTTAGTTCAGGAAAATTGTTAAAGCAGATTGCCATAAACAGAAATAGTCAACTTTCTACTTGCTTCAGGTGGGCAAGATTATCGATTGGTTTTGTGTGTGGAAGTATAGGCTTCTGTACCTCCCACCGGCTGCATGTGAGCATGAACAGAGAGAAGGGCAGCGCGGTGCCGGACATGGCATGTGTGGAGGGCATGCTGTACTCCGTGTTGTAGAACACCTCAACTTTGACCACAGGAGGAGAGGGAGGACGGGTCCACCGGACCAGATCTTTCGTGGACTGGCCGAAGAACAGCACCCAGGCCCACACCACGATGAGCTGCCGGCTCACATAGGGGTCGACGTTCCACATCAAGAAGGGGAAGAACACGATGAAAAACATCTCATTGCCCAGCTCGGTGCCAATGGTGAAGAGATAGAAGAGAAACTTGTTCTCGATGATGAACTCCTGGCCAACATCCCCAGTCAAAGAGTTTCTGCGTAAAGGCTTCACTCTGCCTCTGGAGTCTCTCTCTGCCTCTTGCCCCGAGGGTGCGTTGAGAAAAGCAGCGGGACATTCTTCCGGTTCAACATCACCAGCGGCATTTAAACTTTTTCTCAGCCTTTGGCCCGGGAGTCCGTGTGCTGAATCCCCACTAGCCGCGCGGTCTTCCTGACATTGCCCCACGCAAACACCGTTGACCGCAAGCTTCGCGTCACTCTCGCTAGCCTCGGTTGTTTTTTTAGGAAACGTGCCGCGGACGCCGCAAAACTGCTGGAATCTGGCGACATGGCAGGGATCCTGTAGGTATCGACAAAGGCAAACGAATCTGTGGAGCGCCTCGCCTGCCATGGTGAAACCGAAAGGGCTCTTTTACCTGAATCAATATCACACGCGCGCGCTTTGCGCGAGATGCTGTAAACACAAGCGCGTGCAAAGCTGCGCTAAACAATGGGAGATTATTGTACGGCGCGAAGCTTTACAATCCTCGAGTCTTCAAACCACAACAGACATTGCTAAAACAGAGTGGCTGTTTGACTGGGAGCTGGGAAGTACCCGTCCGTTATTAAGCAGGGAGGGCGACAGATGAGGCATATGATGTAAAACGTAACGTTACGTAGTTGAAGGCGGGGACGCGCGCTGGTAATGACGTACAGTAGGTCCCGGTTATTTTCAATTACGGTCTGCAGACAATATTTAATCACTAATAAGTTATAACTATCATGAAACAGGAGGATCTGAAAATGGGTGTCGCTCGACATAGTCAGGAACGATGAGTCCGAATAATAAATCTTCCTCAGTTATTCACTGTGCATATTCAATGGATATTACGTTTTTGTTGTCATTTTCAAATGTAAATGATCGACGCTTCTGAAGCAGCTCGTTTTAATGGCGTTTTCACGTGGTACCTGTTACTTTTCTCCTCGCTGTTCAGGCTTCACCAATCACACTCGTTTGGATAAACTAGCCTACTAAATTATTTTGTAGGGATTGCTTGCTATTAGCACGAATGGCGGAAAGACAAAAACAAAATAACTTTTGTTTCAAAGACAAAAACGTAATTTTTAAGATTTAATTGTGGCCTTTAGTTTTCGGCTTTGTAAGCAGTCAAGCGCTAACTATTTTTTGTAAATATCATTATTGTAATTTTTTAACCTGTGCAATATACATTTATAATTCACAAGTAACTTTTCAAAAAAGCAAGAAACTGATGCATTGGCTAAACAGAACAGGAATATAGCATAAACAAGACAATTATTTCAACCTATAGGTCGTCTAAATGAGTATGGGGTTAATTTGGATAATGAAATACCTCATAATTTAGAATAAAAAAAATGTTAAGTTTGTATTGATCAATTATCTTAAGAATAGAAAAGGGGAAAGGAAAATGTGGCCAAAACTGATGTGGTACAACTAGATCAAATTTGTGAGTGTTTAGATTGAAATGCAGAATTAGTCAGATTTCTCATTTAATAAGGTTTCTTGTGTGCATGTCGAGTGTAATGAGTAGTTCTGCTGACACTGGTACAACTGCATCTCATGGGTTTAAATAGACAGAGAAGCACTACACAACACTGGATTTAGACCTTTGACACTGCCTTCTCATGCTGATTATTACATGATATGACTATGTGGAGCACACCCGACACAGAGGGAGCTTTGTGGTCAGATAAAAAGTTTCCCCTAAATTAATCGGATTTCATTTACCCTGTGGGACTATCATAGGTTACGTCATGTGGCCACTGGAGTGGTGTCAAAATGATGCTTACATTTTTTTTAAAAGAACCTCGGGTGCAGTAACATTTTGAACATTTCTCCACTAGAGGGAGAGTTTACACAGCTATTTTATATATATATATTTTATTATATATATATATATTATATATATATACCAGTATATATATATTTTTTAAATAATAATTTTAAATGATTTGGCCGAAGAGTGTAACAAAGAACATCAAGGCTTTCTAAAAATATAAATGCTCACCTGTGCTTTCCCAATATGAACAATGCATCTGCAAGAAAGCAGGAGATTTGTAAGCTGAATCATACCAGAAATGCAATAAGAGAATGGGTAGATTTCTTTATTATATGTATTTATGTATACACAAATATATGTAACTATATATAAAAAAAATAATAAACATAAGAAATAATGAAATGCTTTAGACTTCAAGTTTTCAATTTATAAAATAAAACACTGGATTACATAATGCAATGTTTGACAACTTTTCAATTTAACATATAGATGCTAGGATGAAAAATGTGCTGTTTTGTGCAATTTAACTGACACACAATTAGTGACTTAGTACAATATAGCCATTTCACCACTTGAATCTTCTCCGGTCTTTGCGTCTCACTAGAAGATGAAAAACAAATACGTACACATATACATACATGCATATAATCAAGTAGTATATACACAAATTATAATATACAACTTAAATGTATCCCAGTAAAATTGACTGTTTATTGAAACTACACTTACATGCATTTTTGTCTTCCTCCATCACACTCAGAAGCCAGTCCTGTGTCTGTTCTGGCTCCCCTTTTTCAGACAAAATACATCATATCAGCACCAACTTCTGACCCAAAATGTGTTCGTTGTATATGTCTAAAAGAGGGCCTTAGCCAGTTCTGACCTGGTTTGCCAAAGTTTTGATAGGTTCTGGTCCTGAGGGATGGGGGTCTCCCTTTACGACCAGATAGGGCTTGAGTTCCAGAGCCTGATGTTACCATCTCAACCTTTCTGTGGCGCCTAGATTTAGTTCCCTTTACAGCATGTGCCAAAGCCATGTGAAAAGAGAAACAACTCATTTTCTGTCAACAAAGAGTTGACTGTACAGCCAAATAATTGAAACAAACAAACAAACATACAGATGATTAATATATATTTGTATTCTAAAAGTGATCTCAAAGGGGCCGTGAAAATGCATTATCAGATTTTTATATGGTTTCTGGAGGTTAGCATGTCAAAAAAAAAAAACGTTAAAGTAATTGTAAAAACGATCTTTTCCCATCCACATTTTCACTCTGTCACACTTTATGATGGACAGACAAGAGTTGTTAAGGTGATTGATTTACATACTCATGCTAGGGGCATGTAGAGGAAAATTGTGACATTACAAATGAGGCCGTTTAAATTCCTGGTGTTTCAGAAGCGTGGAAAACAAAAACTCATGACCCTTTAAAACTGAACAATGACCTTAATGAGGTCAAGCAAAGCAGTATTTGTAGCAACGAGAAAATCTCAAACCTTTGACACATGACCATATGATTTTGACTTGATGGCGGCAAGCAGATCAGCTCTAGTGGAGGACTGCAGAAAACAATGCCACAATGTTTCAGACACCTTTTTTGTATCCATATGAAAGGTGTCTTTACAATGTAAAGTTCTAAGCAGGGTTTAACTCACCTCTGATTTCTGAGTGGTTTCCTTTTTAGAGTCGTTATCCTTTGCAGCCTAAGTACAAATGTAATAATGCACATTAGTAAGACAGTTAGCCCTATATAAAAAAAAATTAAAAAAAAGTATGTTTCAAAAACAATTAAAAAAAAGAATACTTCAAGGACATTCAGAAATGAAAACTAGTCAATGCATAGTATTACAAGTCCACCAACTCACAGTGGTTTTGTCCTGCCACTGCTGGTACTCAAAAGTACATTTCCGAAGCAAATCTGTCAGGTTAAGCAGTGTCACTCCAGATGATGTGGGCACTGATGATTTCTTCAGTCTCTCATAATGACCGTGCACGTTTGCAATTTCCTGCATTTCAAAAAATACTTAATTAATTTCAAATAATCAATTACTAATTATTGCAATCCTCCATTAACTTCAAATTATCTAAGAGATTACACAAGTCAGAACTGTTTTAAATAGGAAATAAATATTACAATAAAAACATTTCACTATACTAAATACTCACTCCTAGCATTTCAAAGGAAGCAAGTTCAGCCACTCTGTCCTTGCGGGCCCGAAACTCTTCGTTCACATCATGCTGAACACGTTCGCTCGCTTCAAATGTCAGCTGTGAGTCAGTCACATTCAGAGTTTTCAGACACTGTTGGAAGATATACCCCAAAACACAATACCATAGGTAGAACCTGCTGACCTTCTTGGGCATGGCAGTGAAGTAAAAGGCCTTAGCTGACAAAAGCCTTTTTAAGATGTAAACAACATCCAAATGCTGGCAACTTTTTGCCTCTGTGATAAGCTTCTGCACATCGTTCCAGTCCTTCAAAGCAATCCTGATCTGAGTAAAACAGACAATGAATCAACTTTATGTTTCTCATATTCAGAAAAAAAAGTTACAGGTAATGCTGAATCATCGAGCTTGATAAAAAAGAGTGAGAGAATATAGACACGGATCACCTTTTCCTTGGGCCAAACAAGTTGTGTATTGTAAAGGCCATAAATCATATACAGGCCTCCAACCCGAATTTGAAAGCTGTATGGGGGCAGAACGTATCTGTAGGCTATGGTGAAAGAGAGCCGCGTGAAGGATCTGTTCTCATGGTTGGAATGAGTTCCACTGATGGGGAAAAAAAAACAGGAGAGTGACCGAAAAACATTACATGTTTCACGTTTACTTGATTACAGTATAAACAAAAAGTGTAATTTATTCACTCTCATGTTTAAAAATGTGCCTATTATATCTCTTTTTCTTTAAAAATTAAAAGATAGTGCAGAATGACCTGGCTGATTTTTATTTGCATACCGTGAAAGTGAATGGAAACAGACTTTGCAAAAATGGACAAAGACCCATTAAAATAGTCTATGACAATATTCCAGGTTTTCCCATTCTGAAAGGTAATGAATACACACACAAAAAGTGTGCTTGGACACATTAAAATATGGGTCATCAGTTCTGACATCAATTATGATCCAACATACTGTAAGACACAAAAGAACCAATGACAACTGATTTCAAATCAGTAAGAGTGGCTGAACTTCATTAATGCTGACAGAATCAGCTTGATCCAATTTTTCAATTCAGCTGACTTAAAAGGATAGTTCAGACAAAAAATTAAATTCTGACAATTACTCACCAACCTTTCATTCCAAACCTGTATGACTTTCGTCTGGGGAACATAAAATACGATTATTTTTTTTTTGAGAAATGCCTCAGGTTTGTTCTTCCATTAAAATGAAGTCAGTGGTAACCACAAATTTGGTTACTAACACTATTCAAAATATTTTCTTTTGTGTTCCACAGAAGAAGAATTAAAGTCATACAGATTTGGACCGATATTATGGTGTGTAAATATGACAATTTTCATTTTTGGGTGAAGTCTGTTCCTCACACACAATCGGGTTCTCTATGAAATGTTATTATGTTAAATTCTCCTTTAGTTTTTTCTTCCAAAGACAACAAGTAACTTAGTGGTGTTTGAACAACATGAGTATGAGTGAATGACAATTTTCATTGTTGGGTAAACCATTTAAGTGTGGCAAACATATTAAAACATCATAGTGCCTGTACGGGTGACCTTTGGGGATTCAATAGCAGTGAATAAATTAACAACCATACAAATGCAAGCCTGATTCGCAGATTTTGATAAGCAATAAGTCAATTTAATTATCTTTTAAACCACTTAACGATTAAGTGCAGTGCTGTAGATGTGTTACTTACAAAAAAACACTAGAGAAGTCCATCTCCCTCCAGATGGCAGAAAACTCCTCGTACCGAACTGTCTCGGTCTGCTGGAATCGGCCCAGAAGCTCCTCGCAGTCGCTTTTGAAATGAGCCCCGTAGTACTCGCACTGCTTTTCTACTCAACCACACACTTACGTGAGAACCTAACATTGATATCAAGCAACCATATATGAAATCATATTTACAGTAACTTACTCTGCGCCATCACCTCACGTCCTCGAACTTTCCTGTTTACAGAATGGTGATTAGGTGAGTGCACCTGTGCGCGGTGATTTAACAACCGGGTGTAGGCCTACTGTGTGGGTGCGTTCTGTTAGGCTTATAGCTTATGGTTCAAACCTGGAAAATATAATCAAAATATATTCATATGAATACACGTTGCTTGCAGCATTATTGAATAGCAATATTTTATTATAATGTATCCTAATGTTGCACATGATAAGGTCACGTGACATGTCACAGGCACGCTCTCATCACCCATTTTCTCACGCAGTGGAAAAAAACAACGCGTAGAAAAGCGGACACTGACACCACGCCAACAGGCAAGAGAGTGTTATTACATTCTCTCATGCTGCGTCCCAATTCGCCTACTTATACTACGCCCTAAAAGTATGTACTCTTTTTGTGAAGAAAAAGTACATACTTTTGAGTGTGTAGCAAAAGAGTAGGCAAGCTTTGGGACATACTACTTCGTCATCTTTAACGGACAGATCTGTCGCGTGCATCCTATCACCGTAAACTGCCCTGCATGTCAATCATCTCGTCACAGTTAAAATCCTCCATTCAATCTTATATAACTTCTTACCATTTCGCCGATTTCGGAGAGAAATGTTGTGGCACGTTCATCTGCCAGTCGTGGGTGCTGCTGCAGATGCAATATAATGTGGACAACATTGAATAAATACATTTTCGTCAGGTTAGATACTGTTAATTAATCACTCAAACCCCTTTATCTAAAACTCATAACCGTCGGACTCGCGCGTCCTCCATGTCTGTAGTTTTTGAACACTTTTCACTCGTGTTTGTAGTTCTAACCGAATCATCCAGCGCGCGATGGGTTGTGGGCAATATCAGCCGTTAGAGTGCGCATCGATCTGCACTTCGGATTCTGACCGGATATAGTAGACCATCCGGGTCTCTTTGGGACACTCATTTCAACATACTACGATTTGGGACGTACTAATTCTATTTTCGAATACTATTTAGGACGGATAGTATGCGAATTGGGACGCAGCATCAGTGTTATTACAAAATTTAAACAATACAACTACCGCTTTGGCGCGCTTTAATGTGACGTGGCATCGCTGTATCCTCAAGCGGCACGTGTCTTGAACCAACCAATCTGAGCTCTTTATTAGGCTACTAGTTATAGCACCAAATAAACATGAATTGACATGTTGAAAGATACAGATTTCTGAAATGTAGGCTCATGTAATCGCTCAATCGGTGTTTCAACGACGTGAATAAAAAAGCTAGAGAACAAAATGTCACCTAAAGCCATTCAATGACAATGACCAACGTTAGTTCGAAACTCTAGAGAGGAGCCTACATCATTAAAAATATTATAAAATGATTATACCTGGAGGAAAGATATTTAAACTTTGATGAACATCTCACCTTGTGAGAAGACAAATTGGGACCAGTCATTGTGGATGAGGTTCAGGCTGTTGGACAGAAACAGGAGCTCCGGCGATTGCCTAGGGCGACAAACGTGTTGGGGGCGCGGGCGCTCTCTAGTGTCGCCTTGGCCTCCTACCCATTAATCACAGAATTAGAATGACAAGCGAAACAAAAACATGTTTATTAAACATGATCATCCTAAGGCGCCCCCTCAGCCACACGTTTAATTATTTGTCTTTGGGGGACGCAAAACTCAATCTCGCCTAGGGCAACCAAAGGGCTAGAGCCGGGCCTGCAGGAGCACGTCTAGTGAAAACACTGTTGCTGGTTTTGCGTGGTACCCATGTCAAAAATACTCTGGAGGGCAGTATGCTCTTGTACTCAAATATTGACGAAAACTATCAATAGATTTCTCGATCAAATCAATTTAATTTCTGATCTTTCAACTGTCACAAAATGCCTTGTGTGATAACAATGATTCTTTGTTAAAATTACCAATTGTAAAAGAGTCCCTCTAATAATTGAAGAATCACCAATCAACATTAGAATGAAGGAATGTAGTGATATTTTAAGAGCTTCAATTGAAAAATGAAAGTGGATACCACCTCTTATTCTCCTCTCTCCCTGCCTCTTTCCTCCCATTATCTACAGGTGTCTCATCAAGCGGATGAGGATGGTTCTCTGTGGTTTTGGTGGTCATTTTGCAACACATACAGTATATGGACATAACATGGGGGAAGATGCCCCCCTTTAAGAACAATGTGAATTTACTTTTAAACTGTAACATATTTAGATATATATTTAGCATGTGAAGGATGATGATGTGTTATTATAGGAAATAAATAGAAACATTTGCTAATTTAGTTGCTATAACAAAAGATGTAAAATATTAAGAGGGTTAAAATGAAACCCTCATCTTAAAAATAATAACACAAGTAACAACATGCCCCGCTTAGGGCCTTCTGCGCCAGATCTGGGGGGTCATCTTACCCCAAGGGTCTTATTTGATCTTTTTACTTCAAAAATAAAAAATAGGCTATTACTCCACAAATCCCAAAACATTGATGTGTCCACAAATCCCTCATTAACAAATAAACACAAAAAGATTTGATATTCAACATAATGTAATGTCATAGATCACTATTTTCCAGACATAAAATTAAATGCATTAATCTAAAAACTGTTTCGGCTGATTAAATCTCGCAAATGTTAATATTCAGATGAAATGACAAAATTAAAAAATAACGTACATATTATAACACTCTCCACACTTTGCTCTTCCTCTTCATCTCAGATTGTTTGCTTCTATTGTTGGTATCAACATTCAGTGTCACCTGTGCACTCTGAGCTGCAGGCTCATATTTTGTACAGTTGGTTTGATCACATCATTAGAAACAGCAATTTTGAGCCGTTGTGTGTAAACGATGACAGCTGTGTTGTAGTTGTGTTTAACTTTTGCCGCTCATGTTTAACATTTTGCAACACAAGTGCATCACAGTGAAGAATGTGTTTAGAGTTTTGCAAAAAGAGTGCATGAGATTGCAAATAGTGTCTAACTGCCTGAACTTCTTTAAGGTTTTACAGAAAGAGTGGTTTATTCGACAAGTCAGTTTAAGCCTTTGAGAATTTGGAAAAACTGTATCATAAAACTGGCCTTGTATGCAATTATAAAAAAAAAAAAAAAAAAAAAAAAAAAAAAAAAAGCTTCTTACAATGGCTTCCAGCATATAGTTACGATTATAATATTTAAAAATAAAACTTTTTTCTTTTCTTAAACACAAAGAAAAACAATTTCATATTTTAAAACAAAGCTGTTTTACTGCTTAATGTAATTAAATTACATTTTAACTTAAAAATAATAATTTGGAAAATGAAAGAATGTTCATCATATAAATGTATTCAAGTCACATATGAATTACATTTGAATGTACTTCTGAATAACTTAATAGATCCAGATAAAAAATAAAATAAAGTGGTATGTCAATTGAAACATGCGCCACAAAATTCTGGTCCACAATTGTCTTTTACTGATTTATGCAATAAACAATACATTTAGTGTTAAGAGAATAAAGGAGAAGACTGGAGACTGCAGAGATAAATGAACAGAAGATTACAATAACATAAAAAGAAAATGTCTTTCCTATTGAAAAACAAGATAAAAGGTCATAAAATACTTGCAGGACATTGTCAACAGGCTGAATTAATCTGAAAGCATAATGAAAACAAATATTGTCTTACTTAAAACTAAGCATTTGTGTTCTAATGCCATTATAAATAATTGTAAAACTGGGACAAATGATACCTCAGCTTTGCATGATCTAAAACAGCTCATAAAACTGCTTCTTACAAGCATTAAGCATCTACCACCTAGGGAACTAAACAGAAATAAAAATGAACACTAAAAATATAAAAATCTATTGCATAATTAAACTATAAATCTGTTTTAACCTCATCATGAGAACATCATACCATGATTGTAAATTCCCTTTTTTTTGCACATTCTCCATTACTTTCAATATCACTTTTACAATTCATATGTGCTGTTCAAGAGAAAACTGAAAGGTATGCAAGTAAATATGAATGCAATGAAAAGCAACACTCACAAACATCCAACAGCATTTAACCATTGAGCCTATGAGTGCACACACACAGAGCTCTTACGTAACCGTTACACAACAAAACAGAGAAGAGAAAAAAATAATTGTTCAATCTTTCAGTAAAAGTACATATTTGTAAAAATGGTTTTGTATATTGCATGGACTGCTGGTATTCTGTCTTAAGAAAATAGATTATTGTGCGACTGTAGCTACAATACACACACTCTGGGGGGGATAAAAGACAACATTTTTTTTTTTTTTTTTATGGAATCCAGAGGGAGTGTGTGAGATTGCACGCATCTGTGTCGGGGCAAGTTGTGCATTTCACATTAAGGCTCTTAACTCTTGTGATGCCACTGTAAAGTTACATTACGCTTCTCTACACACTGGGATGGATGGACTCCCTCTGGGCTCCTCTTCGCATCACTGACGGGATCAATAGAAGGTGCAGGTCATTTATTACATTTTTAAAACACTGGGGTTTATAGAGAATAAATGGGGTTCGGAATAAAAGGAGACATATGGAGGCAGATTTCAGGGATCGTGGGGGTCAAGGGGCGAGAGAGGGATGCAATGTCCAGAATGGCTAAACACAGCAGAGTTCAGTTGACTTGGTCCAGAGCACGCAGGAGCTCCTCTCCCTGGAGCAGATGATGGCGGTCCTGCACAGGAGCGTTGACTTCGCAGTCATAACGTGTTAGCTGAGGCAGCCCGCCGCTGCTCTCTAAAGAACTGCACAACAGACGACTGGCCACATCTACAGTCAGAGAGGAAAGAATACAAACTGATATACTGACAACTGTATAACAACACGCTAAGATTCAAAGGAAAATTCTCGAGTGTTACCTTCAAATAAAAATATTTGCCATACTAAATATACGTCTTTTTTTTTCAACAAATATCTTGATATTTAACACTAGAACGGCCACGGCGGTCATTTTGACCGTTTTGAATTTTATATCTGCAATAACTTTGTTAAAAAAATAAATAAAATCCTGCTGGTACCTGACTTTTCCTACAAGTGTCTGTATTTTCATTTAAAATGTTTTTAATATAAATTACACATAAGGCAAAAAAAACAAATGAACATATTTACCTATTTCGGCCATATTGACCGCACTGAATTTCGCGGTATTCTTTTGTTACATTTCTCGCGGTTGACCTTTGTCTATTAGGAAATAATCAGAAGATTCAATTGGAAAATGACAGATATGTTTATTGAGAGCTGGTCAGATGCTGGGAGAGTTAAGGTGTGTAAATGTCCGGTATGAAGCCCTTGGCAGCACAGGGACGCTGCGTGTAGAACCATGGAGTGCTGAACACGGGATAACACACGGAAAACAGATACAGGCAGGGAACAAACACGCAGGAAAAATCCACAACGATCTGACAAAGACTAGGCGACAACAGTGACACTTAGGCCCAGTCCCAATTCTCACTTGAGCCCTAAGGCCTTCCTGGAAGTAGACACTTGTTGAAAGTGCACTTAGCGGAGTAAGTGCGCAAGGGCCCAAAGCTGTGAAGAGCAGAATTGGGACAGTTTTGCACACGTCACTTCTGTTGTGATCAGGAGAGCAAACACCATTCATTTGGCTAATGTGTGTGCTGCTTATAATAGCTGTAACATGACACAATCCTTTGAATGAAAAAAATAATCTTTTTTTACTCTTAGCTACCAACCTTTCTGTTAATGTTATTAATATTAAAACAGTTTTGGGCTAAGATAAATTGTGATTGGGGTTTACCTGAGCTTATACTGCCTTACCGTATTCACAGCGATTCGAAATGCAATTTTAATTATGTTATTATGGAAATTGATATATGAAATTCTTCCCATCCCATACATGAAAAAATACATGACGTGTTGGTGAAATATTATATATAGGCTAAGGCTATATTAAAAGTCTTACATAGGCTATATGAAATAAAATGACACAACCCTGTCTCTTTTTGTTAAATTTCAGTTTTATTGATCAATAATAGCCATTATTAAATTATAAGTAGCCTAAAAAGTATAAGAAGCTATATAAGTCAAGAAATAAAGCAAGTTAAAAGATTCAGTCAAACATAAGTCAACAGGCTAACGTTACAACATTACAGTTAAATAGCATAAATATATAAAGTTATGAAACTTCACTTTGCCCTCAGCCAAAACGATTTGCCAGGGAACAAATCATAGATTACTGAGACCAAAGATCGCCCGTTAGATATACACAAGCCGATTTATAGCTCATGTTTAACCACTAGACACAGAGCCCGCGGGAAACGTCAGAATGACTAGCCGAGGTAAGGCTGTTCCAGGCGGGGTATATGAGCGCTGTGCGCCCGCTGATCCCTGGAACTCCGAAAAAGTCCGATCAAAATTTTAAATAGGCGCTATCTTTATAAACAAACCACAGATTTGAGCTTTAAACAACTATATTCTCGACTGAAAAACTCTTAAAACTACATTTCGTGACACGATAACACTAATATTTTTAAATTTCGCGGCCTTGAAAAACACTTCACCATACCGGCTTCCTTTATCTTCGGAGTTTCCGCTCCCGAACAGCACCATAGCAACCATTCTCCCCCATTGGTTAGCTGTTCGAAACGTCACAACACTACAAGGATTCTGGGTAATATCCCACAGCAAAGTGAGGTCTGATGCGCACTTGCGAAAGGGGTGCATTAAGTGCCCTTATGATCACCCCTGAAGAACACTATTAGAGGATCGGGACACCCTACGGTCTTGCACCCCTTAGCGAGAACGCGCATTGAGGGGCACAAGGGCGCAAGTGCGGGTATTGGGACAGGGCCTAAAAAGGGTCGAATGCTGATCAGTTGCAGCTGGCGCGTTGATCAGAGCGGGGGCGTGCTGATCAGCTGCAATGATCAGCGACCACACACACACACACACACACACACAACAAGACGAGAAAGGAGACAGCGAATTCATAAACCGTGACATTGTCTCTCTCACTGTCAAAAGAATATCTAAATAAGATACTTTTAGTTGTTATTATCTTGTTCTGAGTTATGTTGAATGGATATGGAAATATAGCTATCTGTTGTGAATATGTGATAATTACGGGCTACTGATATTATTATTTATAAATGTATAATTCAACTTTTTTTAAATGTACAGTTTGGTGTTGTTTTGTTTTTAAAAGATATCCTAATACAATAAATGCATTAATCTCTCAATTGGGTATTTATCATTAAAGATATAGAGATTGCAATCTAACGGTCAAAATGACCGCTTGTGGCAGTTCTAGTAGTTATGGAATTCTGGCACTTCTAGTGTTAAATCATGATCATGAATATGGCTTTCGTCATCTTGGTTACACAATACCGCTTTTGATAACATTTTGAAATAAAACACGTTTTAATACATAAACTGCTTTTTTTTTTTTTACCTACATGTATGTAAATAATTAAAGTGCATATTAAACCAGCGGGGCATAATATATTTATTTAATTGAATAGCAGCCTTTGTGAATTAATAACAGCAGTATGCTATATAATGATCTAAATGGTTTTAATATATAGTGTAGCCTTAGAAAAAGGTCTAATAATGTATTTATGCTTATTAGACCTTTTTCTAAGGCTGCACTATATATTAAAACCATTTAGATCATAGTATAGGCGGTTCATGGATTCCCGTCTGTGGAAGGCGCCACTTCCGGTATTTTGCTGGTTCCTCGACACTGGTATTTGTTTTTAAATCGACTACTCAAATTTTGTCGTGGAATCGTGACAGCCCTACTTATAACTGTGTATACACACCAAAATAGTATTGTTTTTATTAGTAGAGCGCATTTAAAGTCACCATGATGATGGTGGACCAAAATGGACCATTCCTATATTTTACAGAATGTTGTTTATTATAAATAATTTATCCGTGCATTATTACTTTTTTTCAAACGTATGTGCACTCGTAATCGTTAAATCAAAAATATCAACCTCCCCTCCACCTCCTAATGATGTTGTTCTCTTCATGATGCATGTCTCGTGGGCTAAATATCCACCACAGCTGACTGCAAACTGGCAACTTCCTACGATCCAATCATTTCCCGAAGGACGAAATCAAGTCTCACCCTACATTTTTTTCTCATTCCAAAGGCCATTTTACTCTTATATATGTCACAATAGGGAACAAAAAGACTAATCGCAACTTCCGTTTCATGCCGACTTTAAAATTCCACAAAATAGATGGTACAATGATGATGGTCTCGTCACTCACCAGAGGGCAGTATAAGAATGGTTTTGTTCCCCCCGAGCACACTCGATCCTTTAACTTCTACAACCTTTGCCCTTTTTCCAGGCTCTATAGCACTGTCCACACTCTGAAGCAAAGCACCCTGCGGGAAATAGTAGAGTGGCCATTAGCATGGGTGTTACATAGAAAACAGATCTCAAAAAGATCACTTATTCATCAGCCATGTTTCCCTTTAAGTTAAAAATACATGCAAAAAAAAAAAAAAAAAAAAACTGGAATATATAGTGCATAAAACAATTTAATGTAATGTAATGTAAATAATATTTAACAAAATAAAGTACTTTTATATATGCATCTTTACATACAATCGGTGTATAAAATCTAATAACATACTGACCAGTCCAACAGCCTCAGAAAGAGATGTCACTTCCAGCTTTCTCTTACGTTGGACATTCTGGATGGCTAACATCTTTGGAGACAGCTCTCTGAGAAATTGGAGCAACGGACAGAAGATCAGATAATCTACAATTAATTTCATCAAAAAGTAAGTCCAAAGCTCTTATGCTCATGATAGAACTGTTTTGGCTCGACTCCAATCTACTTGCAGTTTAATACGGATCAGCTATCCGATCCCTGTGCAAATCGATTGTTAATGATGCCAGCAGGCAGTTGTGCCAACGAGAGCTTTACCTGTTATTGAGCTGATTGCTGCTCTGTGGGGTGGGGGATCGAGCCGGGGAAGTGTCCCGACTGCCGCTGAAGGGCGAGACAGGAGCGCTGCACACCTCCTGCAGCTGATGCAGAGGTGAAGGGGCCTGTGATGATGGGTCCTGTGTCACTGCGCTGCTGGAGGAAGAGGCTGGAGATGCAGGTGAGGGTAAGGGCTGGAACAGGGAGCTCATGGCTGAAACAGAGAGAGAGCTGGAGGGGAGCGGATCCAGTGGAGAGGGGATGCGCAGCTGGAAGTCATCATCCATTGGGATGTATGGAGCCAGCATTTCTAGGTCGAGATCCCCCATGGCCTAGAGGTCACAGAAATGCGTGTTGTGAAGTTTATGCAAATGCATAAATGACCACAGAGAGAGAGAGAGATATGGCAGATAAAGGTTTACCTGGGAGGAAAAGGGGGTCTTTGCTTCGTTATCAATAGCAAACAGTTTTTCAACCAGGTCCAGTTTGAATTCAGAACTGATGTCGGAGTCCACTTGGAAACAGTAATCCATGGGGCTGTTGGGCTAAGAACAAAAAATAGCTCAAGTAAGTCTTTGAGAGTCACAGAATCTCATTAGCCCTTAAAAAGAAGCAATCATTTTGAAATGAATAACAATACCAGCTTAAATAAAAGCAAGTGTTTAATTTGTCTTTACCCCCGAGGAGATGAGTCCAGATGTGGAGAGTTTGTTTGTGGAGTCTGGAACACAATCAGAGGCAGAGCTGAAAGGGAAGTCCTCTGCTCCGGACTCTAGTTTGGACAGAACTGGGCTGGAGTCACTGGGTGTCAGAGCAGACAGACTGATGGGCAGTTTCTCACTGCTGGAGGGCAGCATGACATCATTGTAGAGGGGCACCTCCTTCAGCGGCTGCATGTCAGAGTCTGGAGGGAATTGAATACTGTTAATTATTATTGGTAGAAGACCAAGGAAACAATTCATTATTTCATTTCTTACAAAAATAAGATTATGAATCCATATTTCTCAAAGTCTAAGAGGATTAGGTAATGTCTTTGTACATGTTTCTGACTTTAAAAGATTAAAAAGCTGTTGAGAAAACACATTTGGTCATGTAATGGTACACTACCATTCAAAAGGTTTGGGGTCAGTAAGATATTTTTGGGGGAAATAACTTGGACTTTTACACTGTTACAAAAGATTTCTACAAATAAATGCTGTTGTTTAATGTTTTCGAAATTGATAAGAAATGTTTCTTGAGCACCAAACATCAACATATTGGAATGATTTCTGAAGGATCATGTGACACTGAAGACTGGAGTAATAGCTGTGGAAAATTCAGCTTTGTCATCACAGGAGTTAATTACATTTTAAGTACATATTAAAATAGAAAACAGTTATTTTATTTAAATTAAAATAATATGTCATAATATTACTGTCAAATAAATACAGCCTTGAGAAACCATAACTGCATAAGCGACTTCTTTCAAAGACATCACAAAATAACCTCAAACTTTTGAATGGCAGTATATGTACACATGTCAGTGTCAGACACTGTTGTCACCAACTAGCTGTCGATCGCAAATATGCGTTCTTCAAATTCTGGTTGTCTTATGCTACGTTCACACCGGACGCGAATAGCGCGTCAGGCGCGAGTGATTTCAATGTTAAGTCAATGCAAAGACGCGTTACGCGAGTAAAAAATTCCTGCGGCGCGAATGAGGCGTAGAGCGCGGCGCGGTAGACGCGAATACGCCTCATTCGCGCGTCAAGTTCGCGCGAATGGCGCGAATTGAAGCGTCTGGCGCGGAAGCGCGAACGCGAATGATTTAGTTAGTGCTATTTGTGCATTCACGCGTTTGACGCGAATTCGCGTCTGCCGCCCGAGTTGAAAAATTTGAACTTCTGCGTCAATTCGCGCCGCGTTAACCAATCAGGAGCCTGCTTGCTGCTGTCACGTGGTGAAGTGAAAGTTTGATATTTTAATAAATTATTTTGTAATATTACTAAAATGTCTGGTGTGGTTCTAATGCACAACAAAGCAAATCTTTCACATATAAACTCGATTTTAATATATGAGAGATAGTACTCATTTTGTATTGAATGCTATTTATTCCATATCTATTTTAGATTATATGAAACATTATTATTTTAATGTAAAAACAACAAACACATAGTGTATAATAAATAAAAAAAATCACAGGACAGGTTTCACTTTTGGAGGCTGGCTCCATTTATTATCAAATAAATGTGCGGGCGAGGGTGAACCTCGCGCCGGGCTGTAGAGCGCGGGCTCGTCAGGCAGCGACCACTCGAGGCCGAGGCTTTACACGGCCTACGGTGTCCTCGTCAGCGTCCTCACCGTTAGGTCCACCAAACCTAGCTCCTGGAACAAATGGTGAAACTCCTGAAGCCCTCCGGAGGGTCTGGTGGACCCGAGTACAGCGACGATGTCCCCTACGCAGCTGTTTCTGCTCTCCAGAGCATATACGAGCGGTGACTCTCTCGAATAATGCTAATGCTAATGCTCGATAAACATCTAAAAAGATGGCCGCCGACGGGTTTCGAAACTTTCGCCTCTGACGCGCGTAAATTTCGCTTCAAACTTTTGTTTTTACGCGCGTCAATTTCGCCATTGACACGCGAATTAACACAAAGTGGTCAAGCGTCAAACTAGACGCGGTAGACGCGAATTTGACGCGCTATTCGCGTCCGGTGTGAACGTAGCATTACAGTACTTGTGGGCTGCACAATGTCACTAACCATATATCATTAATGTAATTTTATTTTGACAATTACACTTTTTTAAACTCTAAAAACAAACATTGTGGAGGGGAAGCATTCATACAAGTTGCATGAATATCATCTATGGCTAAACGAGATGAGAAAAGTTAAAATGAATATAAATATAATAAACACTTTGGCTCTTTGCTCAAGTTGACTTGAACCGCCAGCTCTCAATAAAAGCGAATTACCTCCGATTATTGCAAGTTGCTGTCAAAGTGAGCAAAGCTTAATCTGTTCCATTAAAAAATGTAACCATCCACCAGAAAGCACCTGAGTTGTTGAAGTCCAAAGAGATGATGGTGTCTCCTGCTGCAGGCGCCAACACAGTGAGGGCCTCAGGCTCCGCTTTTAGCTTCTCATAAAGGTCAGAGCTCTCCACGGGACACTTGAGGCTATCTGGCTTGAAGAGTTTGAGCATGTCCACATGTCCATCCACATCTTTCAATTCCTGGCTCTCTTTCTCTACAGCCTTGGGCTCTGTCATGGTCTGCTGCAGTGACAGGACAACGTCCCCCTCCACAATGCCACTGACGGGACAGAACAGTTCAGTTAGAAATATGATCACAGATGCACTTTGGTTTTTTATAAAAATGCCGATCCACTTAAAACAGGGTTCCTGCACACTTTTGAAAGTCAAATTTAAGGCTTTTTAAGACCTTTTTAAGACCTTAAGAAATCAAAATTAATACCGTACATTAGGGCTGTGCAGTATTGACAAATATATCTTGATATTTTCAACGTTTTGTTGATAATAATTAAGATGATATTTTACTGATTGTGTTTTTGTGCTGGTGCCATGGCTGGTTTAGGTCTGTTGTTGACAGCTGACTCACGAAGATATTCATATTTTTCATATTCTATGCAGTGGTCGGTTCACAGCAGTGACAGAAATTAATATTTTGATTAAGGGGCAATATTTGCCACCTTAAATTGATTTTTTCAGGGGCATTTTCACCTATATATGGACATTTTTTCTAAACTTATTTAGAGTTATGCATCACCTTTAATGTCAAATACTATCATTCAAATTAAATTACAGTAATTATACAATAATACTTAATTATATAATAATCATACAGTACCACTGTTACCAGTCAAATTAAATCATTCAATCAAAATCCATCTTTGCAGTGCAGAGGTGACAGAAGCGGCATCAGAAGTGGCATTAATATATTTACACTCTGCATTTACATTTACAACTGCATAAATAAAGCTATGAGATATATATTTTAAATCAATATTCAATATTTAAATATGAAATGATTTCTAATTTTAACGTTTTATTTAAAGGGTACTTTAAATATGAAACCGCAGCGGCAAATCAGTCTTAATAAGTGAGTTGAGGGAGTCATTCATTCAACCGATTCGTTCAAATGGCTGATTCATTCGGGAAAGAAGCAAGTGATTCGTTCAAAACGCGGATTTCAGTCAAGAAATCATTGCTGTCGGTTGCATTGAGACTCTGCTACGGTTTCATTTTGAAATTATAGTCGGCGAAATAAAGGTAAAACAAACAATATTAACAATATTGTGTCTAAAAAGTAGTTTCAATGTTAACTTATTGTTAATTTAACAGTTGTATAACATAAATATCACACTTGGAATCGTGCACGGGAAAACGGCACTCTTTCTGATGTGATATTCTAATATAAGAACATAATATGATACAAATATAAGACAAAAACTAATTTGGGGACATACCTGCACACATCACGCAGTGAAAGCACGAGACAAATGCGATGTCAGCTCGCAGTGCCTCGTACATTGTTAAAACAATGATTTCAATTTCATAATAGACAATACACATCGCAAACCATACGCACATAAAGAATGAACTTACAACTGAACTGACATTTACGACCTTTCTTCTCTTTCTCTCCTCTCGCGTGCAGGAGACAGTTACTGCCGCGACTCGTGAGTGATGCGAAATGTCACGTGAACTAGCAAATCCACAAAGATAGAATAATAAATAAATAAAAATACGTACGCTAATTAGATGGTTTTAATTTGGAAAGCTTTTAGATATGTCTAAGTCAACGTGTCATCTAAAATTTAAGACCTTTCATAAGTAAAAATAAGACTTTATAAGACTTTTTATGGTCTTAAATTTTAAAAATCTAATTTAAGACTTTTTAAGGATCCGCGGGAACCCTGTTAAAATGAAACCAAACTGGATCTGTACCTGAGAACGTAGTTGACGCACACAATGCACTGTGGCTGTGAATTCTTGGGGTTGTAGATAACGGTGGCCTGAGTCTCCACCCAAACAAAACCACCTTTCTTAGCCATCATGCGGTACTGGCTTGTGGTAGCCTGGCCCTTAGCGAACACTGGAAAAAAATAACATTCTCCAATTAGAATTATTTCACAAGACAGCAGTTTTGCATGTTGAAGTAAAACCTCTAACATGATCAGGTAGACATTGTCACCTGTTCTAAATTAGTATCTAAATCCAGATACTCACGGTTTTGATGTGTCTTGGTGAGGTGATCTGAATCCAGGGCATGATAGTATTCGTACACTGACCTGTTCAGCAGATCATCCGGCTCATATCCCATCAGCTCTGTGATCCTTTGGGAAAGAGTCAGAATGAGATGATTGTGTGTGAATTTACTAAACTACATACTAAAACATTTCATTTAATGGTTAGTTAATAGTTTTAGGTAAGAATAACAACAACACTGCTCAAAACAAAACAGTTCTGCATTTCTAGCTACTACGAAGGCGAGTCACTGTAACAGCTTCACGGTTAGCAGAGGCTTAAAATAAAACAATGGCTTCTGCCACTAGGTGGCATTAATTACATTCGTAAAAGTACAGAATGCAGGCTTTTGTTCTTTGCCATGCTAGACCAGTTCTGCAGCATTGCTTTTATACAAAGAGATGTAAACAACTCGTAGGTATGAACATTCATTGCTAGGTATAGATACCATCAAGGTAAACCCAAACACAAAAAGAAAAGACAAATGTGAAGTGGGGAAGGCAAAACCATTTACACGAAAACAAAATAAAGGGAAGAAAGAAAAGATGATGTCTGCCAATCTGTCTATCACCTAATCTGGGGGAAATTTGTTTGTAGTTTTGTGTATGTAAGTCATTACATCTCTCTGCTAACCTTTCATCACAGTACGAGAACTTCATGTCCAGAGTGTGACGGCTAAGGAAGGTCTTGCTGTCCAGAGGCACCTCGATGTTTGAGGGATGAGGAATGGGCTCACAGATGAGCACAAGGTAAGTCAGAGGGGGCTCTTTAAAGCCAGAGTCTCCCGAACTCTCGCTGCGCTCCTGCAAACGGACATGACCAGCGCAGTGAAGAACCTGTAGCAGGAGAGAGAAGGGCGAAACTATTGCAGTCCATTTATAGCAAGTCAGACATGCATAAAAATAATTTAAAGGATGCTCTATGCACAATAGGATTCAAGCCAGTTTCCTTTCCTTCTTCCTCGTTACATTTTGTGTATTCTTGTTTAAGAACCATTTAAAATCAAGTCAGGGAAATACAATCTTATCTTCTAAAACAAAGACCTAAAAATCTACCAGGAAAAGGTAAAGCTAAAGGGGAAAACCATATATAAGCTGTGGCTACTAAGAGATTAGTGAGAAAACTGCATCAATTCAGACATCTCACCTTCCACGTAGCAGACTTGATATTGACAGTACGTCCTCTGCTAGTGAGTGTGCACTTCATACGCAGGAAGAAGCTGCGCTCTGTGTTTTGTTCCTTGGTCTTTTTGGATCCTAAACAAGGACAAAGAATTCAGAGAATGCATTTGTTATTAATCGCTGATGCATTTATCTGCAGATAAAAAAAAATGACCAATGCATGACTCACCCATCCTATGGACCAGCATCTCTCTCAACTCCTCATGGTCACATGGGTGTGAAAATTCAAAGACGCTGTGACCGGTCAGATCGAACTGAGAGAATAGAGTGCAGAGATAGTTAGCTACACCATAAGCTTTAAATATAAACAGCAGAGGATAAAATGTTAACATCTGGCTACCTGTGTAAGGCCCATGCTCTTGCTGACATTCTCAGAGAGATAAACCATGTCTCCATCCTCAGATAGGACCATGAGGAAACCCTCCAGGGCCTTCAGATAAAAGCCGTTCAACTGACTCTCCAGCTCATTTTCTTTCTCTGTGTCATCTGCACAGTCAAACAACAGCAATCTAACCATGTAAAGTCATAGTGGCACATTATGCCTTTACACACTCCAAAATATGACACCTTTACAGTTACACCAACAGGATGCATATTAGTACATAAAATGTACATGCCAGTACTGTAATGCACCCATGAGGGGAAGATAAGGTACATGTTAATACCTAAAGGGGGCACTATAGTACCTAGCATTAATATGTACTCTTGAGAGGTAGATAAGTTACACAGAATCTAAAGGGTGCATGCATACTGGTACTAATAGGCAGGCACCCGTACATAAAGCACATAATAGGGCTGCAGTTGGTGTGGAAAAAATTAAATTGCATTATTTTGTGTTAACTTACAATTTGGCAATAACAATAACTATTATTAATATTATTATTACAACTAAATAAAAAAAATATTAGACAATATCCTAATCATTTGTTAACAACATGCATTCACTACTTTAATGAGCTCATTGTTTTCTGCCTTTAATGCAATGTTGGCTAACTGTGTAATTTTTATGTACATTTCTGAAATGCATAATTAGACACAGTCACCTCTAATAGCAGATCACTCTAAATTGTAATGTAGACATGCATTTTCTTTAAAGCTGCTTTGAAACTATGTATTGTGAAAAGTGCTATACAAAAAATGTGAATTGAAAATAATAAATACTACTATTGTAATATTTTACTAAACAATTAAAATTTTACTAAACAATTACGTTAGTTCATGCATAACACATTAACAATGAGCAAGAACTACATTTGCAACAGAAGTTATTATTATTTGTTAAAAAATAATTCTTTTTTAAAATACAACTGCTAGTTAATGTTTCATAAATGTTGAAATTAAAATGAACTAACATCAATAAAAGCACTAGAAGTGTTTTTCATTGTCAGTTTATTAATTAACTAATGTTAAATAATGGTGCCTTAATGTAAAGTGTGACTGAACAATAAAGAATCAGATTTTTATTCAACCAATATTACCTAGGGGATGTTGTAGTCCAGATTAAAATGTCAAAATGTTTAAGTTTGAAAATAAATATCTTTAAGTATTTGGTGCTGTGATGAACACCATTGCAAATACAATGCAACATTTTTTACACATTTCAATACTGTAGTAGCGCAGCTGCTTTGTTTACGGGGTTAACCACTGCATTTCTGCTGTTCCATCAACGCCTCTGCTGTCAGAGAGTGAATGTGCATTTTCATTCAGCGCATCTCGTTCACTCGTTCCGCCATGTGCTTCTCATGCGTGTTGGGCTTGTTAACATCAGTCCGTGCATTCCTTTTTGAAACAGCATTCAGCAGTGTTGTGCATTTTAAACCGTTGATGGGTAAAGTATTCTTAAAATGCACTCAAAAAATGTGAATAATTAGCAATAAATAATGATTCACCGTATTTTTAAGTTCCCACGATAACAATATTGTGCATGTTCATTATCGTGATATATCATATTACAGATAGGGGTGTGCCGGTTTCAGAATTGGTGATGACGGTTATGACGCGAGTCAAATGTGACGGTTCGTAACATAACCGTCGTCGTGGTTTTGATACATTTCCATTAAATGTATCACACAGTAAACAAATCCTTAACAAACAAAACAAACAAACAAACGTTGCAATGAACGTGCTTTGTTTTAAATAAATCACACACAGTAAACAAAACCTTAACGAAAAAACTTTGGAATGAACTTTGCAATTTGGACGCGCAAACTGCGTGCAGGTGCGGTGAGACGTGCATGCTCGGGCAGATTCGGCTTTGAAGTTGGTCATCCTCGGACGCGGCGCCGCGCGCGCTGTTACAAAAAAAAGCCGTGCACACAGCCAAGCCAAATGGGGTCTTGCCGGTCTTGCGCACCGAACGCGTCATTTTTGCTGCGCTCACCTTTGCGCTCGTGCGGACGCGTCGAGTAGCCTATAAACAAGGCTTTACTCCGTGTCAGCGCGCGCTCTGATCGGTAAAGTTTAGACAGACCTCTCCCGAATCATCTCCAGCAGTAGCAGCCTCCGTTTCCCTCTTAAGCTGATATTAGTATTTAAACATTCTCTATGATAAAAAATGTTTGTAAAAAAATATTTTAATAGCACGGTTTTGGCGGTTATAGAGTTCTAATGACGGTGTTCAACTATAACCGTCGGTCTCACGGTTATATAATAACCGTCACACCCCTAATTACAGAATACCGGCACATGTCGGCACATTATACCCGACCCAAACTCAGAGCAGAAGCAGATGAGCAGCATTTACTGCAAACAGTCTCTCTGAGACACTGAAAACACCAGATCATAAGCTGCTTGTGTGTAAAGGAACACAGTGCCGCCCTTTACAGGCTGAACGATTAATCGAAATCGAATCGCGATTAGAAACGTTGCGATTAGCTAATGGCAAAAGTCTGCGATGTGGATGCGATATGAAAAATATGTCCCAGAGCAAAAGCATGACTGTCCTCTTTATGTGTCAGTCTTACTAACCAACTGAGTGAGTGCACCTCTGTTCTACCCCAAAGAAGCTACTGGATAGAAATTAGTGTTCATTTGGTTAATTAAATCTATGACAAAAGATGTTCGTTGACAAACTTTTTTCCATGACTAAGACAAGACGAAGACGAGACGACACCAACGCCATTAAACGATAACTGTGACTAAATAAACATGCAATATCGTTGACGAAAAAATACAAGACTAAATGTGGTTAAAAATAAACTTAACCAAAAGCACTCGTTGTTTTTGAGCATTCATGCGTGCGGTTGCCAGATTTCAACTATTTAAATCCCCAAATCAGAGCTTTTCTGTTTAAAGAACGTTTTCTACCCGGTGTTTTACTTAATCTTTGCAATCTGGCAACCATGCGCACGCGCTCTCTAACCTGCCGTTTAGCGATCTCCATTCTACATTTGAGATGTTCTGCTTAAATGAAAGTGTCATTCAGTCGGTCTGTGTTCTGTCAGAAGCTGCTTGCGCTGTTTGCTGCGACTAAATCTGTGATTGAACCTTTTCAGTGATGAACTGCAATAAATCCTAACATGGATCTCGACTATAGCCAATTGATTGTGAATCGATTGCTGAATAACTGCACTTATGCCGCTCTGTATGACAATAGGTAGTCTTTTTAGTCTTTTTAGTCTTAGTCTTTTTTGCTGTAGTTTTAATAGAAAAACATTAAAGTAATTTGGATTTATTGGATTACTAGCAATTTCACTGTTTTAATTTTTGAGAGAAGTTTCTTGTTTTACCAGTAGTTGTGATAAATAGCCTATAATAAATCAGAAAACTAGATGAGGTCAAATAAACCATGTGTATGGGTTGACATTCTCTTGATTTGTGCTTAAAAGTGAAAGTGCAATAATTCGGATGAAATACATTTGACACAGGACTAAGACAAAATAAAAAGCTGACAAAATGAACACTAACAGAAAGGTACATAGCATCTGCTAGACTACAAGGTAGTGGAGGGGTCTAAAGTTAAAGGCATGTTGTACTCCTTTAATTTAGAGTGTGTGCTGCACACTATTTAGAATATTGAGCTGAATCTTGACTTCACAAAATGAAATCGTAAATCAAATCGCAATATCTGTCAGAAAAATCGCCAGGGCCTGAATTTCGTTTTGGAAAATGGGGGGGAAATCCCCCCTTAGATGATTCTCATGGGGGGGATTTTTTTTTGTTTGAGGGGGAGAAAGGGGGGGGCATTTTTTCCAAACAAAATTATTACATTTATCTTGCCTAAATGTTTGCGCTCATTGCATTTTTACAATGGGGTAATATTGTTGTTAAGAATTTACACATCACAAGGAAGCTTGATTTTAATTGTTTAATTAAATTTTAAAAAGTAGCACAAATAAATACAATGGAATAAAGATACAAATAAAGATAATTAAAGAGAAAAGTTTTTCAATGAGTCTAACACTATTCAAATACAGAAACTGAATAAAGTAATCAAATGGAAAATAACACTGGGTAGTATTTTAAGTCCAGAATAAATTAAATACATAGACTATTAATTCTGATTCCTTTAACTTAAAGCTATCTTTTGTTGTTTTGACAACAAAATTAATGACAGACACATATGGCTTCCGTCACTTTAAGAGCTAGTGCACGGATCCTGTGTTCATTATACTGGCATGCGTTTTATGCTTAGGCCTATTAAAGACAAAACCGACTATGTTTAGAGTATAGACTACTCACAAAGACCGAAATTGACAATTTTGCGTGTTAAAGCAATATAATCCGCGAAAAATAGTTACTGGCCAGCTGTTTTTGAGGCGGATTTTCTATGAATGTGCGCATAGAGAAAATTATCTCTCAGAGAGCGCGCGAGCACTGATTAGTTTAAAATCGCTTGAATGTTTAAACTGGTAAGACTTAAAAAGACTTCAGTCACGATGCACTGCTGGCCCGATTGTGCAAGTGAATATTCCGTCATGTCCCGACCTTACAGTCTATGGTCCCGACTCCAAAACGCGAGTGTGTATTATCGCCGCAGCGCTTGATGCCTGCCTTGCACAACACATTATGAGAGAAGAGATAGAAGAGCGCGCGGCACCGCTGAACACTCACGCTGTTTGTGAAATTGCGTCTGGCAGATAGTTGTTAAAATAATGATTTTATTTTATTATCTGTGTGGATTATGATTGCGGGAATTTCCCGCATTATAAATGGGAGACCTGCGGGAATGATTAGAATTATGCGCAATACCCGCAATCCCGCGCCGAAATTCGAGCCCTGATCGCAATTAAATATTTTCCCCAAATCGCACAGCCCTAGTGTATATTTAATTACATCGTGGTTTAAAATCGGGCTTGGCCATAATCATGATCTTGGTTTGATTTAGATCAATCATGCAGCCCTAGTACATATTATATCTAAAAGGTACAAATTAGTACTAATATGCACCCTCTGAGGACTGCAGATTGTACTTCCCTCCTTGCTTCATGTTTATAGTATCTCCAAGGTTTTGAATCCGTTTTGCATGCGGTGTAAATTTTATGCGCCTCTAGATACAAATATTCATATCAGCGAACTGACCAGAGATGAGCAGCTTCCTCATGCGCAGATAGCTAATGGCCAGCCTCATGATGGAGGCTTTGTCCAGGTGGGAGGTGACATTGTGTGGCAGGGGAAGCTGGTGCGCTAACTCGTAGAACACCTCGGACTCCTTTCCCCTGCGAGATCGCGCTGCATCCCTGGACTTCTCCTTCCTGCGCTCCGAGCTCACCCTGGAAAAATAAGGGAGGAGATTGCGGCATTAGTTTGGCTCTGTGTTTGTGAAAAGAGAGACATCCTGCGCTAGTGCTCGAGGACAGCAACAAGGACTACTTTTTTTTTTAAATCTCTCATTTGCATGGCATCAAAACTGGCAGCGTCAAAGGACAGACAGATAGTCTCAATGTGACTGGTGAAAGGGGTGTGGAGTGTGGACACAGTGTGAGAGACACAGTTACAGCCCTTGGAGGTCAGCCAACGGTGGTAAATGTTGTCGTGTCAGACAATTTTCAGATTTCCCAGCATAAACTTTTCAGTGCCCTACAAGGAACAAACTTTAACACACAAATAAGCCATAAAACATCTGGTCTTACAAACAAGCAAGGTCAGGATTTGGACAATAAACAGTTCATGGCCAGAAAATAGACCCTTTCCTAACAAATAGGTCACCATGAAAAAGTTTTCTGCTAAAATGAGTGTCCATCTCATCATGATTTCTAAAGAAGCATATCTATTACCCTTGGGACCTAGCCTACAAGACAGACTCCCACATATTTAACAAGTGTTTCAGTTAAATGCAAGAATGGGGGGCTCTAAAAAAAACAAGCCAAACTATGGGCAACAAAGAGCAACTAGGCTTTGCAATGCACACCCTTTAACAAAAGTCCCCTTACACACCAATACCCTCAGGTGTTCATTTATGATTTATTGTTATAGAAAGTTGTTCACTGTTAACAAAAGCTGCAATGAAACTAAGGAAAATTGACTAAATCCCGAATAAACTCGTCTTTTCTTAATTCTTTTAGAATTTTATAGGAAACTTGAAGGTAAAACAAAGAAGAAAAAAGTCTATTAAGGCCTATTATCATACTCTAGGTCTGACGTCACTTTGTAGGCCAACCTGCAGTTAGCATCACACTGGTTCCCTCGACAAAACCCAATAGGATTTTCCCATAGGCTTTTGGATTATCGCAAAAAAACAAGCTCTGTGATCAACAAAAGTTTATGATTGCACATTTTGTCCATCAAGATAAGTTTCACAGATTAACACAACTTTCACAAATTTTGAAGCCTAAATGCAGTCGCAAGAAGTAAAAAGCTAAAGGTAGGCTATAAACGGACTACACCACGGTCGCTCGACTTCAATATCATCACCAAGCTTCCGACAACTCTTTCAGTTTTTATCTTTAAAAAAAAATTCCAGAAAGTTTGAGTTAGAATAGATTATATGAGCAAAAATATAAGCATACCGAGGCTGTAAAAGCAAACTGAGTTTCTCCTCGACAGTAGGGCTGGGTATTGGCAAGGGCCTCCCGATACGATACATATCACGATACATGGGTCACGATACGATATATCACAATATGATACAATACGATAAATATTGCAATAATTTTTTTTTAAATCAAAAATGTAAACAAAAAAAATAGAGCTGAATATACAACTTGCTATGTACCACCTGGGGTATTCAGGCATGTTTATCACATTATATTGATAACTCAGCAGACAAAAAAAAACGTATATTCCAATTTATTCGCAAAGGTATAGCATTGTACAGCTGAACAGTGAACACACTGAAATCTAGGAAGTGCATATCACTAAAAACTAAAAATGTAGATGCCACAAATTATATAAAAATAAAGTACATCAAGTAAACAAAATTTATAAAACTGAAATAGTATGTTGTAACTTGTAAATAAAAAAAGTGCAGTGCATTAAGTAAATGTACATAAACTCATAAATTATTACATTTTAAGTTTCCAATGTGAGTAACTTTACTCTTTTTAAACTTTTTGTGTTTGTAACTTTTTGCGTGGTGTCTTGTTAAGCCTGGAACACACCAAGCCAGTTTTTGTGCGTCGGCCAACTAAGTTTCCTTGATGTCGGCTGAAATTGGTCCTCGTCGGCTTTGTTTCGGCCGATTCGACGTGTTGAATCGGCGTCGGGCCGACGGTGAAAGAGGGAACTCTGATTGGCTGTTCAGCTTAGTGAAAGAGTCAATGCACGAGAATAATAGCAAAACAGCGAGCAAAGAAGTAAAAACTCTACAGATAGAAGGCTGTTCTTACGTCATCTTACCTGAGTGTTCCTTGGCGAATATTTCAATATTAACACGAGCAGAGTGGAATAAAGAAAGTTTAGCAGGATTTATATTTAAAACGGTAAGCACGCACTGCTTTGTATATGGTTTGGTTATCTGCACCCGGCAGCGTCGGTTTCCCTTTTTGAATGACAAATATATCTGCAGAAATAGACAGTTGTCTCATTTACACGCAGGCGCAGAACGCGCATTCTAGCTGACAGTCGGCAGTAGTTCTCTCGGTGTGTTCAAGTGCAGCTTTTTACCCCGACGCGAGGCGACAACACAGTCGGCTTTCATCAGCGCTAGTTTGTCGGTGTCGGCTTGGTGTGTTCCAGGCTTTAGGTGAAAACAAAATTTGGTTGTGTTTCCTGAAAATTTAATTGTAGCCAGGCAAAGTTTACAAATGGCATTGTTTTTATCTAGTTCATTACTGCCCGATTTACTTTTAAAACCAAAGTGCTTCCACACGTCGGCTATTAGGCGTTTTTAAATTTTCCGCCATTTTCTCACTCCCCCTTACTTCTGAGACATTGGCCGTATATGAGAGACAACTGGACGCGTCACGGAGGCCGGTGTCTGCGCGCGCGAGAGAGACAGGTGTTTGTGCGCGAGAGAGACCGGTATCGATACACTATCATGAAAAAAAAATATCGCGATAGTTAGCTGTATATCGATATTTTTGCACAGCCCTACTCGACAGTCTCTGTAGTCCCATTTAGCTACTCGTTAACAACGACCTTTTTCAAGACACTTAACAGCTTAAAAAAAGTCACGAGTGGGGTAATGCTGATGTATTTTATGTCATAGAATTAAACGTGAAAGTGTCTTGAGCTTGAATTAGATGGTTAGTATTAAGTTAGTATTTTCTGCATGAATTATGAACAGAATGAAAATTATTTTTGAATTTTGAATTTCAAAATATTGTCTGGCCAATAATAAATAAAAAATGCTTTTATGATGCATGATATATTGGCCACCATATCTCAAACAGCTTTCAGAGCCATCCGAGCAACTCGTGAATGATCTCCAGGGATATATAAGGCTGCTGTCACTTTAAGAGCTAGTGCAAGGATTACCGTTTCGTTTTCCTTATCAACTGTTTGTTTACTTAAGACATAACTGACTGTGTTTACGACGATTCTTGACAAGAATAGGAATTTTGACACAATTTTGTGTTTTTGACCGGTAAAGCAATATAATCCGCGAAAAAGAACTCAGTCGTGTTACTCGCAAGCTGTTTGTGAGGTGGCTTATGTATGTGCACAGAGAAAACCATCTTTCAGAGAGCATGCGAGTAATGAATAGGCTAGTTTAAAATCGCTTGAATGTTTAAATTGGTAAGACTTAAAAATATGTGCAAGTGATAAATGCATGGGCATTCATAACGGTGCGCAGCAGAGCGAACAGCGAACGTTTTCAATTAATTCCCATGGAAGTTGAGCTAATAAGAGTCTAAAATACATTAGGGGAAGCTCTTAAATAGGTCAAAGTGTTTTTTTAAAGTATTGAATCAAAAATAATTGTTATGAATTTGCAAAAAATGCTTCTGACTTTTACTGAAGACAAGCAAATAGTGAAATGACCAATGAGGATTCTCCGCAACTGCCAACAAATCTACATAGGCCTATTCCCCATAATAGCTCCAAGGTCAAAGCAGCAATGAGAAACAATGAGCAGGCCTTGTGTCAACTGTCAAAGCCATGCAAGACAAAGGAAGGAAAACGGTTAAGACAGCCTAGTGACTTGGCAGGAAAAAACATAATCTTGAGACAGAAGGCTCCCATCCTCCCTATCAAAGCGGAAATCATTTGGCCAGAAACAGAGGAAAACCCTTGTGCACAGTAGGGCTGGGAAAAAAATCGATTTGATTTAAAAATCGAGTTGGTAGGTCAAATCGATTCATATTTTCAAAAAATCGATTTTTTTTCTCCCCCTCTTCAGTATAGCGTACATACATTTTGCATTGGCCAAATCTTCCTTCAGTGTTTCCGTAGCACGCTCCCTGCGGCGCAGTTCGGGTACGACAGTCAACACGATGAAACTCTCTCTAAGATGATTAAATGTTACTATTATTATACTTCATCGGTAGATAAAGGTCTATGGTTTCGCATAAAACAACTTTATATTACTGGACTTTATTGCTGTAATCATGTTACTTTCTACCGGGTGTCTGTTAGATCACAAAACTAGAGTAGAGTCAGAGCACTATGCGAATTGTTCTTCACGCGCACAGTAACTGAAATTTAAAACTGTTAAAAGAAAAGGCTCAATAAACGATTGCATAGATAGATACTGTATAATACACGACGCATCAATATGTATTTCCTTTGTGCTTTGAACTTTTCAATGCGCGCTGTGACTCCATGTTGCTTCAAGCGCATCATTCTGCGCTCGGGATGCGCATAAGCGCTGTGTGCCGCACTGTATTGGAGCCTTTCATAATACTTTTGCGCAATGAAAGATTATTAATAGCCTTTCTTGTTCTGTCCTATCTATCATATGTTGCTGCCTCATTAAACAGCTGTGCTATACATTTAAAACATGTCTCAATTTTATAGTAGACTAGGCTATATAATATTTGATCTTTGAATTGATTTGTTATCTTGTTTTTCATGAATGTATTTTACAACAATACAAAGAGCAATGTGTAACATTTTACCAGATTTAGTGCTCTTATTTGTTCCCCACTAAATGTTTTTTTCACTAAATGTTCAGATTTTGTACAATTATTGTGCACTTGCGATTTTTCTAGACTAAATTTTACTGCTGAATTATCCACTAATCTAGTATATAATAGCATTTTTGTAGGGATGCACGATGATATCGGGACAACATCGGTATCGGCCGATAAAAGCTTAAAATGACCATCATCGGCATCGGCCGATATGAATATTTCTGCCGATGAGTCTTGCCGATAGGGTGGCGTGTTTC